GTACTATAAGGAATATTAAAGAAATGTCCTGTACTAAAAGAATTCGAGTTAAATGAATCCCGCAATCAATATCCCCGTACTATAAGGGATAGTAAATAAATGTCCTGTACTACAAGGACCCGGGCTGAATGAATTCAGTAATTAATATCCCCGTACTATAAGGGATAGTAAATAAAAATTCTTTACTAAAGGGGACGAGCTGAGTAAAGCTCGTAAAATTTAATTCCCTTATTAAAAGAGTGACGACCTGAGTAAAGCTCGTCCAATTTATTCCCTTACCAAGGAAAGAGTACCCAAGGGTACCAAAAAGAATACCCAGGGTCAGAGTACCCAAGGGTATCAAAAATAGTACCTAGGGGTAGAGTACCCAAAGGTACTAAAGATAGTACCCACGAGGAGATTACCCAAAAGTACTAAAAAATAGTATCCGATGGAAGAGTTCCTAGGGCAAGAAATAAAATAAAATAAAATCTACTGTTCACGTGAACAGTACCTGCGGAAATAGTAACCGCGGGGGTACTATTCCAGGGCAAGAAAAAAAAAAAAAAAAAAAAAAAAACTTATACTGTTCACATGAACAGTACCCGCGGGGGGTACTGTTCCAGGGCAAAGAGGAAAAAAAAAATAATAAATAAATAAAAATAAAAATAAAAAAATCTACTGTTCACATGAATAGTACCCGCGGGGGTACTGTTCCCAGGGCAAACAAAAATAAAATAAAATAAATTTACACTACTAAAGCTAGACGAGCAAGCTTGGGAATGGGGGGCAACTGATAGGGAAAAATAACCTACTTTGAACAGCCGCCAGACCTCTTCGACATATTTCGTTATCAGAGATAAAGATTTCCATCGGATAAGAATGATGACATTTCTTATCTAGGATAATGAATGACGACATAGTTCAACAGGGTAAGGATAACCTTGGCATAATTTGAGAAAGTCAAAGGAGCAAAGCATATCCCCGACAAATCTGGCAACAGACGATCTTCTCTTATCTCGCACAAGCAAATCTCCAGCGGGACCAATTTGATTACGATCGACAGCCATAAATAAGGCACCAAGTCGTTAAAGAAGGTACGAGAAAAAAACCTCTAAACAGAATATACGTAATTATTATGTGATACGATTACAAGTACTAACTTGATCGTCGGAGGGTCTTCGGCCGGCACTCCACCGGTGCCATTCGAGGTGACGTTCCTTTATTTTGCAGGTAAACGCCGTCGTTCCGAGTCGTGAGGATTTCCGCATCAACAAAAACTTTTGGGAGTACAGAGGGTAATTTATTTTTGTTTTTGAAAAACTCTTAAATGACCTTTTTAAACTAACTATTATATTTTTCAAACTCGTAAAGCTTTTATATTAAATTTGTTTTTATATTTTTGCTTTAAAAAATCTTAAAACAAATGAACATTATTAATCATATTTTCGATTACTATTCAAAACACTTTACAATAAAACATTTATTTTATTTTAGGTTAAAACAAAAATAGTACCAAACAAGCCCTAAAATACAAAAATAGAGAATTGTATATATAAATCCCTTCAACAAGTTATCTATAAAATATTAAAGGCTTTGTGGTCTTGTGGTATTTTTCTACTTTCCTAATAGATGGTGAGGGTTCAATTCTCCTAATGAACAAAACTATGTTTGTGAGTGATGTGTATATTTCTTGCCAATAAATAAAAATAAATAATAAATAAATATGAATTTTCAAAGTGAGCATTTGATCCGTCACAACTTCTAAAATTAGGCTGTTGAAGATTTTTTTTTTGGGAGTATAATAAAAAAAATAAAAATAGAAAACTACTATAGTCAAGCCATTATTTATGCTTTCTATATTACAATGTATCCAAGGTGTAACAACAATTATGTAATCAATATTCAAAATACTTTGTCATAATTTGCAAAAAAAAAAAAAAAAAAAAAAAAATTAAATACAAACATTAAGTTTATAAAATTGTAGTTAATAAATTTAAAGAACGTGAGGAGAGAGAGAGAGAGAAAAATATTACTGCACATACATTATTGAGTGCAAGAAGAAGAAAATTTAAAAACAAGAATAAAAAACAAAAACAAAAGAAGGAAAAGATAAGAAGACAGGAAATATTAGAGAATTTGAAAGAGAAAATTAGAGTTTGATTGAACAAGAAAAATGGAAGTTCTTTTTAAGGGGTTAAAGAAATCTGAAGAAGCAAAATGGTAAAATTAAAAAGAACGGAAGAGTTAGAGACCATTTTTATGCTATTCATTCCAATGCACCAATTTTATTGGACAGAAAATAGCATTTTAGGAAAGGGATTTTGTAAAAGGATACAAAATTCATGCAATAAAGTTAAAAAATAAAAAATAAAAATAAACAAAATTTGTGGAGGAAAATTCTCCCACCAACCAAAGAATGCCACGTGCACAATGCTCAGCCCAGAAGCAAGCCCAACATAAGGAGCCTAAGCGCTTCCCTTACGTAAAGGCCCACTCACCAGAAATACAGAATTCTATCTGGACCATCTTTCCAAATGGACCGAGCGGCCCAAGTCGAGTGGCCCAAGCAAAGTCTTCACCAGTACGGTGTGGTTGTGTAACGCATGAATAAAAACAAAGGCTAAAGATCTGATATCGATTGATTATTCAAAAAGAAAAGTCTTAAAAGGCTCCATTTACAATGTACAATATAAACATGAACAAATGACCTAAATAAGGGGGCGGTTCACGGGCTTTGCTCCGTGATTATTTCAAGGGATTGTTCATACACCAGAACATCAGCATCTCTGAATATTTCTGATTGTTATCAACGTTTTCATTTTTCGTTTTTGAGAGTATTAAGATGCTTTGGTCGAGTACTAGTGAAAGATATTGCGAACTATTCTTAGAATAGCTCTCCAACATGACTCATTAATTTGAACAAAGTCAATGTAAATATAAACCGACTGATATTAATTACATATCGAACCTAAAAAAGTAGCACTCGACATTTTTTATTTGATTTTGATAGTCAAATCAAATGCTTTCCATCCTTATCCTCTTCTTTTATCATCTTTGACAATTTCATTAATTCAGATCCCATTTCCTTGTCTCTTTTATAATATTTGATTAGAGGAGGAGTTGGTTTATGTCAGTAAGATGTAATTTTTTTTTTTTTTTTTTTTTTTACGGAAACCAATATGGATTTTTTTTTTTTTTTTTGGTTCTTCACCATTCACCAAGCACAGATACAGCGAACTAAGCCCCACCGAAATGGTGTTCAATAGGGAGAATCCCTTCATAAAAGTAGGACATTTATTTTATTTTTATTTTTTTCAGAATCTTACTTAATGAGTCCATCATGCTCAGTTTGGTTAGAGTGGATGAAAAAATAAATAGGAGAAATAGGGGGAGGGATGAATCTCTTATTTGGTTAATTGAAATGAATGGTAGAAATGATGAATTTTTTTATCAATATTTTTTGATTGATTAGAATGAAGGGAAAAAGAATTTATATATATATATTTTTTATCAATATATCATCATTTTATAAAATAATAAAAAGTAGATATTCATTTGATTTTTTTTAAAACCATTAAAATTGTAAATTATATATTTATAGGTAATTATTTACTTTCTCTCTCCTCCATTCCAAAATGAAGCGGATAAAAAACATATTAAAAAATGAGGGATGCCGCATCCTCTTTGCTTTCTCCCTCCAACCAAACATAGCATTACTAGTAAACAGAGAGCTTAAATCAGCATACAGAGACCTTAAATCAGCATATCTATATATCGTAGTGGTGGTGCTCTCACTCACAACGGCACCTCTCCAACCGCTAAGAAATCTACAAATCGATATCGTGGGTGGCCCTTCAAGATCGCCTCTCTAGCACCCCTATCCAGACTCCCGCTGTGTGTACACTCCGCTCTCTCCAGCAACGCTCACAACCGCCACCAGGTGAAAACCTAAATTTCCATTATTATTATTATCATTATTATTATTATTATTATTTGTGTACAATTTGTTGAATTTCATGTCCAGTTATATGGGATTGTTTTGCAATTTCATTGGTTAATGGGATAAATTTTACTTATTTCGTTGGTTGGACTGATGAATTTATACCTGCATTTATATATTTTTATGTAATAGTTATGGTTGTTATTGGGAGTTTGATTGTTAAGCAGAGATGGTTTCACCAAATTAGTTACTCTGATTACCAGACGATTTAACAGGATTGTCTTCTCTATTTTTCTGCTACTGATCATCATCAACTTGTTTGCATTCTTAATTCACTAAATGCTTCTGGACTTTATTCCTTTGGAGCTGACTTTTACCTCTTCCATTTGTTTCACTTGTCTCCGAGTACCATAGAGAAACATGGCTTTTGTTTTGAACTAAAAATAAGAAAACCTGCATTCCACAGTTTTGAACAACCCCTGGAGTAAATCTCTAATTGTTGGGCATAAGATGATGAGGGTATTATATTAAGTTTTTTCTGTTTTCTATTAGGTAATTGCAATAACTATGCCCATAATTTTGATCATCTCCTACTTTGTAGGTTTTGATCGGCCTTCTTAGTTTTTCAAAATCTATTCTCAGTCATGATCTTGAAATGTATTTTCTTCTCTTGACTTGACATGTGGCATTATCTTTCAAAAATATCGATCTCATACATTACACTTTAGTGGTCATCGTTTATTTTATGATGACATGGTAATATATCTTAGGGCAGTTGGATAAGTTTGATACTTGTTTGGGTATTCATCCAAACTTCCTTCGTAAGAGCTAGACAGTGACTGATGGCAAGTGCTCTATTTACCTCGTCATCTGCACTTGGCACCAGAATGCTTGAACCACAAATGGCCATCTCACCACAACTATGCTCCAGGCAAGTATTTTTTTTCCTTTCTTTTTTTTTTTTTTTTTTTTTCATATAGTTTTTGATTAATTTATTTTTTCCAAAATTGTTTGAGTACATGAAATGATTTTTTAAGATTCTACAATGTAATTCAGATAAATCGTTTAGTTCACTTGTAATTTCTTTTCTGTTGTTTGCACTCTAGAAAGACTCGAATGCTAAGACTCTCATGCGATCACTCTTGCTTCGAAGTAAGTCTCCTCCATTTCTTTCTTTTGTTTTTCCCCTAATTTTTGTTGGTTATTCCATTAATAGAATATTAATTTTTTCAAACAAATATTTTTTTCCAACTATTTAGGATTGACTAGATGAACCCTGTTTTGCCGATCCACTCTATTAAAAATCAAAATGTCAATCAAATCATATGCAATGTCAATCAAATCATATGCTATCCCATTTTTCCTTACTGTTTCTATGCATCTTAGGTTTAAGTCTTTTCCCTCTTTTAACAGTAATAATGAATTTTTTTTTTTTCTTTTATTAAGTTCGCTACAACGGAACAGTAATAATAATTGCTCAGCATTACTGTTTCCAAGCAAAAAAAGAAAGCAAATAATTGCACCTTCAGTACATACTTCCACACCCCATTGACCCAAACCTGTCATGCCACTCCCGTCCTGACTTAGATATGGCATGGATTAATTCTTAGCTGCTACACCAGTATTGTTTCTTACATCCAGCAGAATCATAGACTTTGTAAATACGTGCATTGCTGGCATGTACATGTAGCATTTCTATTATAATTTGAAAAAGAAAAGTGAGAGGGCTGGAGTTCCTGAAGCATTATGATTGTTTTCTTTAAGGTAAGGGTTGTTAGCTACCGGCCCCCTGGAACCCAAATCAACCTTTTGAATGGAGTTAGTTTTTCCCTTCCTGAGAAAAGGTACGTCATACAGGTATTATTCGTTTGATTTGATTATAAAAAAGTAAAATTTAAACTGTCCTTTCTAGGAATTTCCCATGGCAAGATATATCTTCAAACAGATTAACCTCAGCATTTCATCTACTAGTATTCTTGTTGTGGACCATTTCCCATATTTTTAGTGCACAGGAATGTGATAGATAGATGGTTTGATAATCCAATGGGGTCAAATGTCATTTGTAAAATTTTGAGGTTAGACTAGTGGAACGTTTTATATCCTCTCTCACACTCAAATTACCTTACGTACATTTACTACTCCAGCAAAGCCTCTGCAACTTCTACTTGACAGGAAGCTTAAATATATTTTCAAGAATTGCTTTGCATTCATAGGATTTTTTATTTTGTATTGCTGCAGTTTTGGATTGATCTTTGGACGGAGTGGAAGTGGGAAAACTACTCTCTTGCAGGTCTACCTCATGATTTGGGATTTATCTTGTATTTTCTTTGCACCTTTTCTTTTTCATTTCACTTTCACCACTTGGTCTTTATTTTTAATGCTCCTTTCCCATTTTTCTTCATAGCTTATTGCAGGGCTGAGCAAACCAACATCAGGATCCATTTGCATTCAAAGATATGGTAATGATGGCACTCCAAGTCAGTCTCCTGAACTATTAACCCCAGAAAGAGTTGGTATTGTTTTTCAGTTTCCTGAGAGGTAATCATAGCCAGTATTTGATTCCAAGTCTTTCTACTTAGGAAAATTATTAAGCTTTTCATCTCTGTTTTCACGCTGTCCACGAGCAGTTTTATCTTCTTCTTTTCAGTTTTCATTTAGTTTTCCTTCAAGATTGTCAAGCACAAAGTAACTTTGTCTCTCTATAATCTCCCCTTAACTATTATGAGAGTTGAACTTCAGCCTTCCTTTTCTTTAGGAGTTTTGAATTTTGCTTATTTTGCTACTAATGCCTTTTCTGGCTTTATATCCATCATACTTGAATTTGTTTATTAGTCAACTCATTTCTGCTCATATTTGTTCAGTTGAAGTATCTAAGATGCTTCTTTTGGAACTAGGTTTTTTGTGGCAGATAATGTTATTGACGAAGTTACATTTGGCTGGCCAAGGCAGAAGGGTGGCTTTGAATTGAGAGAGCTTCTTGCTTCAAGACTCCAAAGAGCTATTGCTTCGGTAACTAAGCTCTTCTCAGATTGGATAAGTGTTTTTTAAAACTGCCTCCTTTATTATTATTATTTTTTTTTGGGATTTATGTTCATAATTTCTATGTAATGCTCTGTCATATTCCTTGCTAAATAGTAACATCATTCCTTAAGTAAATGAAACTCTTAGGTTGGATTGCATGGAATCTCTTTGGATAAAGACCCCCACTCACTAAGTGGGGGTTACAAACGTCGGCTGGCCTTAGCAGTTCAATTAGTAATAACTTCTCTTCCTCTGTCTTCTCCTATATATGTACATATTTGATAAGTATGGTCTCTTTCTATGTTTGTATGTATTAAAAGACTAGATCCTTATGTTATCATAAGATTATTGCTGATATAGTTGCTCATTGTTGGATGAATATTGATTACTTATTGTTTGTGGACATTATTTAGGTAAACGTCCCCGATTTATTGGTATTGGATGAACCTCTAGCTGGTCTTGGTATGTATATGTAGTTTTAGTCCAATTCTTTGCGCATTCCTGTTGTTTCTTCTTTCATACACTATCCAATGGAGTCTAGGAAGACATGGAGTCATTGGGAGTAAATAGTGTGTACTATCTCATACTCAGATGTTTGTAGAACAAGAAATGTTTGGCAATCATTGCTAAGTCAATTTGTGATGAACTAGTTAACCACATTTTAGGATGATTAACTTTGAGTCTGAGTTGGCCTGTTGCTTGTAAACTTCAATTTTCAATGTGTTTGTCCAGTTCTCTTTGGTTTCAAAGACAATTTCTCAAGAAGTTTTCGGGATTTTTATGTATGAATCTTTATGCCTTTGATTCCTCTTTCATGCTTTGAGTCCTCTTTCCTGAACTACTGTAGTATTTCTTTTCTGCTACTCTAAAAATCAGACTGGAAGGCACGTGCAGATGTTGTAAAGCTGTTAAAGCACTTAAAGAAAGAAGTAACTTTACTCGTTGTCAGTCATGACCTCAAGTAAGTTTCGTATTCCCATAGATATTCTTCAAACTTGCTTAATGTTTATTAGAATTGTTCATTTGCTACTGACTGTTGAGTATTTTATGGGCAGTGATTGTAAGTACAAAAATTCGTTCGACTTTGACAAGTTAACAAAATCTCTGCAATTATTACACTCAAAATAATAATATAGAAGAAACAACGAACTAGAGAATTTGTATAGAGATGGAGGGTATTTTGATGATATGACCGAACCTAGGATTACCTAGATTGCCTACGTATCCCGCATGGAGCGTGGGAATCAGGTCAGAACGTAGTTCTGGTGATAAGAATTGGATCTCTATTTGTGGGGACTTTGCCTTTTTTCTCCGTGTCCCCCCTATTGAGAGTCCTGAGCCCTTTTTATATAGGAAAAACCATAATCGATTCCTTTTAGGACTCACATTGCTTGTCCCTTAAGAATCTGAATTATATCATACTTTCCTTATAACAAGGATTTACATTATTTGGTTTCCATAGATAACAATTCTTCTTCTAATAGAATTGTTACTAAAATGGGTTTAGTAATATATTCGTAATTGGGCTTGGGGGTCTTATCATCTCGGGCCTTCATAATGAGTTCAGCCCATTATGCTTAGTTAACCCGGCCTAAGCTTCTTGTAGAGGCCCAATTTGAAGGTTAAATAGTCCCGGTATTTGTGGTGGTCCCCTTATGAGCTGATGTGTCTTGTCTTAATTGGAAGGGGAGATTTTTGCCCCACGCTTTGCCCCCAATCCCCTTTAGTTTGATGTGGCAGCCATAACTAGAGGGAATTGAAAAATTGGGACAGTATGCCTTGAAGGCAGTGACTTATATTTGTCTTATTGGAAAGTACGAAGACCCAAAATCAAGGCTTCTGAGGAGGTTGTCGTTGAGGTGCCCCCATGCTCAAAGGTGGCGTCTTATGTTGAGACTTCTTCTGTTCAAGCTATTGGTGCTTTTATTTTCTCAGGTTGATGGCGATCACTCTTGGCAATTAGCTTAGGTGACTAGCCTTAATGAATAATGATGTTGACCAACTTTGGTGATCATCTTTAATGATCATCCTGGAGATCAACGTAGTGTTTTTCTTGAGCAATTAGCTTCAACTTTCATGATTAGCATTCCGAGGTAATTTATTTTTATCCTTGGCACTGCTTTGTGCTTTAGAGGATTTGATATGAAAATTTTAACCGTCGACTTCTTTGAGTTCGAGGTAATTTTCATGTCATTTTGTTCCGCGGCACTTTTGTGCCTTAAAGAAATTTTGAGGTACCCGGACTCTTGAGGTCTGAAGGCGAATGTTTATTCCTCAGCAGCTTTTTGTGCCTTAGAGGAAACTTGAGGTCCTCGGACCCTTGAGATCCGAAGACGAATTTCATTTCTCTGCAGCTCTTTGTGCCTTGAAGGAATTTTGTGATACCTTTGGATTCTTGAGATCCGAGGTATGTGTTTGACTGGTATCCTGAGGTCTGGAGTGTGTGTCTCCTCGGCCTCTATATGTGCTTTGGAGGATTCTTATTGATGCCTTTGAATTCTCAACTTTTGGAATATGTGCTGCATTCATACCATCATGATCTGAGGAATTTGAAAATGATAGGCTCAAGAAAGAGGGTCCTTGATATGTAGGTTTCTGATTGAGCGATTTTGCTTGAAGACCTATTTATCAAGGGGCACCTTTCTTGCCTTCTTGGTGATCGACAATTGTGGGATTACACTATATATTGAATTCACGTTTTTCATTTGTTTTCGATGTGGGACAAAAGTAGGATTACCTAGATTGCCCACAGTGATCCATAATTTTTATTGTCATCCTTGGTCAATAATGGTATAGGGAATTTATAAGGTGTCATTTGAATGTCCCATGAAAATTGAATCAGTCCAAAGTGTTTTACATGGCATTTTGACATTCAAGTCAGTTACATGATAGTGAGAGATAAACCGGATCACAGGTTAAAAAAATGTCATGTATTGAAATTCTAACTTTTCTTCAATTTAATCAAGTATTAACGAAACTAAATAGATCTTCTTGAATGTTATGTAATAAGACACTGGAACTTTTTAGACCCAAGTAAATATTAAGCACTCATTTAATCTGCGAGGTCATTGCATTTTCTTGATTATGTTTCAGGCAACCAAGAGCTGTAATTTAACACTATAATTCTGCAAGAGCTGTAATTTAACACTATAATTCTGCGATGGACCTTACCTTTAAGTAAAAAGAATTACGCCGCTGCAATATAGTTTTGCTATCTGTTTCCTTTTTGCTTATATACATATATGTGTGTGTGTGTGTGTGTGTGTGTGTATTATAATTTACTTATGATGGAGCTGCTCTTCTGCCTATAGAGAGCTAGTGCCTCTAGTTGATCGCTCTTGGAAGATGGAAATGGGTGGAAGACTCGAGGAAGAGCCTCTGCCAGTTTAATCTTCAAATTGTACTATAGCCCTTCTTATCAACACAGGATGCTGCATGAGGTATGACTGATGTTTTTAGTTCTCTATGCACATTTTTACTCATACTCAATTTTGTTATTTCTGAGTTCTGGAGTTAAAAAATTGATACAAAAATTAAATCAATTTTCTGGCTTTGAAGGTCTAGATTATTCATGATGGTTGTCCCAGCCAACCATGTTTGGTGGTTTAATGCAGTTGAGTGTTATGATGATTCTCAATGGTTCGATTGGCATTTCAACAATTGAAATTATTTGTACTAATTAGAGCAAAGACTGAAACTTTTATCATGAAAACCACAACTTGAATATCACACTGACGGACTTAAGGGGTATGTCGCTTTATTCTTCTCTTTTGATTTGGGTTCACCAATGTACAACATCTTACCAACACCATACCGGCACTTTTACTCCCAAAGGATGACAGCTAATCACCATTGCTTTCGGCTTCTTCTCCCTTTACAGCTCTAACACCAAATCTGCAACGCAAATAGTAGAAATGGATCAGATAACTATATCATTAATCTTTTTGGTCCTGCATATTGTGGATCACAGTCATGGTACTTAAATTACTACTGCTACATGAATGACCAACATGCCTAGGAATGCTTACTAACATAATAGTTTCAGAAGACACTGTTAAAAAGTTTGTTCCATGCTCCAAGAGCAGGAACAACTCTGCAACTTATAGATTTTGACTGCATTTTTTGAAATGTCTATTTACATTATATCCATTCAATTGTAGGATGATTATGGACTCTAACTTGATAAATTATGTAGTTACTACTACACAGAAACAGAAAAAGTATTAGTTAGTACAAGAAGTTATGATTTACTTGATCCATGTTCTGGATGGTGGATGCTCTGGGTTGGTGAGATACTGGGATGTTTATAAAGTCTGATAGAGTTGGTGCAAATGTTATGCGTTTGTACTTACACTCCGCATCTGTTTTGATCCAGTGCTCCCTATTCTGACTTGAATGGCTGCCGCTGAGACTGTTATGGGTTAGATTCAATTTGGTTATTTCTTTCTTTAACGCGGCTCTTTTGGGAAACCTTCTGTTGTCTGTGTCCTGGAGTATCAGATCTCCCTTGTCATAGCAACCGTCATAGGAAGTCTTGTTTATCACATGCTTATGTGACTTAGTGGACTCTTTCTCAAATGCTGATCTTTCAGGATGGATTTTTTTGCAGAACATTCTTAGGACCTGCATGTCATTCACAAGGAAATTAAGAATTTTAATATTGTTACCTCATATCTACTATGAATGCTCTGGCGTCTACGAGATACTCCTCTCAAGATCTGAAGGTTTTTATAGTTTTGTATTCCTTAAACATTTTTGTCCAAGGCCATCTCTTAAATAGTGATGTATGGTCCCAAAAGCTCTTTTGGTTGGAGGCTTGGATTGTCAAAAATTGTGACTTGGATGTATGACCTTCAAGGAAGCGGCTACCAAGACAGCTAATCTTTGCTATTAGGTCACACAGAAGTGATATTGTAGTTATTTAAGAAAATGTGCCTATAAATAAGTGAATATCAGTTGTAACTAACAAGCTTTAAGCGCGAAAGAACTCTGTATAACAATTCCTTGATTGGACCGTCCTAGGTAGGACGCCCTTTGTGAACCTCTGTGAATATGCACAAAGTGGTGAACAACTGGTGAAAATCCCCAATTCGGAGATTCTTTTCGTTAAGAGGCAACAGAATCAGACGGTCTGCACCATCAGATTTATTCAGACCTCGATTTTTTTTTTTTGAATGGTTAAGCAAACTCACACACCCATTATCTCCACTGAGGCTCGAACCCCCAACCTCCCATTTGGGAAGGTGGGTTTGTACCAGTTGGGCAATTGCCCATTTGGTGAGACCTAGATTTTTTTTGCATTTGCTGGTAGTGCATTCAAAGGCATAAATTGAACATTTTAACTTAAATAGAGTGTAAATTTCACAATGTGATGAAATTATTTTTAGGTTTACATGAACACAAATATGGGACCCAGGTATTTGATAGGTCATTATTCGAAAAGCTAATATCAGGACCAACCTTAGGGAGTTTCCTCTTTGTTGAAACAGAAGCAGAACCTTCACCACCAGCAGAAGCTGCAGAACCTTTAGAGCTCTTTGAAGAGGAATGGAGCTTTTTAAGCATCTTCTTCATGAAATGCGTGGCATATGTTTTGTGGGCTTGTTTCTTCCCATCCTCATGTTTCTCTATGGGATGCTTGTATCTTATGTTACTCTTCTTAAAGGGCTGCTCCAGTGGTCTCTTTTCTCTATTTACAGCTATACTTGTTTCAAATAGTTCAATTGAAGATCCAGAAAGGTATCCCTGGAGTGGGCAAAGCACCATATCTCCATACTCTTCTGTGTCCACACCTTCTATTTGCTTGCCACTTAATGTAATAGTGCTAACACTGCTTCTCTCTGATGATCCATTGCACATCTCTTTAGCTTCAGCCTGCAGGAACTTCTCTAGCTCATCATTGATAAGCTTCAATTCATTTTCTGTTACCTCTGTTTTTTTCCCTGTTACACTCTCAAAGGGCATGGGAAATGTTGGTGTTGGAGGCTCTGAATTGATAGGTTCCTGACCAAGAGTTCCAATTGTAAGAAAGCCATTGAAGAGTTCGGAGTTAATAATAGCTGTTTCTTCTTCAAAGAACTCTTCCACCCTATTGGTTTTGAGTTCACTGGAATATTCTTGACATTCCCCTTGTTGCTTCCCTAAGTATGCATAGCTGTAGCTTGGCTTGGAGTAGTATTGTTGGTCGCTAAGTGATGGCTGAACTGAGAGGCAAACAAGCGAATTCCCTAAAACCAGAAATCAAAAGGAGTTGTTAAAAAGACTCAGTGTGCTCTTTATCATCTTTCTCTTGTACTAATTGGGTACGGAGTAATCAAATGGCTGCAGTAGCTTGTATGACATGCTGGTGAGGGTGGTAAATTTGTGGACATGTCCTACCCAAAAGAAAGAAAAAAATGTAGAGACCTAACAGCAGCTTCTATGACATATTATAAAGCTGCCATAGGACTTACTGCGGATCCATCATTTGATCAATGTTTTATTTTTAAAAAAATTTATGTCTCGTCGCTATAAACACTTGGTACAATAGATTATAGCCTTTAACTTTTGACGTAGAAAATTCAGCCGGTAATCATTTTTATATTACTGGTGCAATCGAAAAGGAAAAAGAAGAAGAATTTCTATCATTTGGGATATATTTATTTAAGTAATTTTTTTTTTTTGGATGAGTGAGAATACCAATTGTGAAATCCTTGAAAGGCTCATTGCTATTTCGCCTTAGTCTACGGTGCATCCAACCCAGTAACTGCAACAATGACAAACAGAGTTAAAAGATTGATTTGTGTTCATGCAAAATGTAGAGGAATTTGGACTCACCTTCATCTTGAACTTTTGTTAGAGGGGCTGATGATTTATTGCTTGGTTTGTCAAAGGAGACACAGATGAAGCAGGATGGGGAAATGGGATTTAAAAAGGAGACTTGGGCCTGATGAAAGAGGAATAGATTGGAATCTTGTCATCAGGATTGTTCGTGAATAGAAAGCCAGAGGTTGCTAGAAGGGTCTGAGATAAAGGTGATCAAAGAGGAACATAGAGAAAGATACAAATATATTTGTCATCTGTTTGTTCTCAAGATCAAATCATGTGGACAAATTGAGGAGGGGGTTTGAGACCCACAAGTTGGTGAACATCTGACTTGGATGCATTCAAGCTTGGAGTGGGTTGTAGGGTACAGTATTAGGTGCACTGTTGACCATTGATCAGGAGTGGTATAAACATGTTACTGCAAATGAGGCAATCATGTCAGTCACTCAACTGATGAATTTGTGCATCCGAGTGTGCAAGATATATTCAGTTGCAAAATATGTACGTATTATGAGAGAAAGTAAAGATATAAGTATACACAGTTTCTTTCTGCATGCAATGCTGACAAGGGCGTGTGATCTATTATGAATTAGTGTGTGGTATTTGGTGAAGAGGAGAAGCCCAAAAGTATATATAGCAACTATAAAGTGCGCATGTATATTTTGAATGCCGTTACATGCAAAGATAATTAAATTCTAAAGATATTATACTCATTAGGGTCAGCAACGGTACTTGATGAATATTCTAAGTTTTTGATAGGTCATACTTATCTGTTAGATTATAATAATATCCTTATCTTGCTAATCGTCATTGTGATTGCTGCTTAGAAATATCTGGCATTAATGTTTTAAAATGTTGTGGGTCGTTGCAAGTATTGGTGTGTTAGGAACTGTATTATGGGTAAAACTTGTCCTGCTCTTTTTGGAACTTCATACTTAATCAGTTTTTGTAGATAAAATGATTAACTAAACACATTATAAAATGATAACCTGACTAAATAATCTATTATGATTTCTGGTATTCCGTTATCCCTGATTGAACTACATTTATTGTTTACGATACAGTATTTTTCCATTATTGAACTTGAAAATTATTAACTAATAGGAAGAGATATGGTTGACATCTTTGTTAAGCTAATTAAAATTGAGTTTTATTTTGAGCACTTTACCATGTAGTTTGAACTGTCTTGGCCATTGAAAATTTAAAAATAAAATAAAAGAGAAATGGACTTTGTTAAGAGAGTCGCGCATCATATTTATTCACGGGTTATCAGTTAAACGCAATGTTGTTATAGTTGGTCGTCTGTTCAAGGCTTGGCAAAATAGAAGAAATTTGTTGTTACTGCATCTGCATTTATCATTTATGCCAGTTATGATTCTAGTTGACGCAAATTTGCTAAATTTGTGACATGAAACAGAACCAAGCATTTTCAATCATCACATTTATACTCAATTTTCATTTATACAGATTAAAGAAGTGTGTCTGAAATATAGTGACATCATTTATCATGGACACACGCAGGTGAGCGTGACATTTAGTGTATACAGAACTTACAATAAGTCATGGTTCTCATCATGGAGCCCATGTTAATGCAGTTGTCGGCCTGGACAACCTTAGCATGCCCCACAAGCATCTCTGGATGTAAGTGATATGAGGACAAAGCTATTTTGATTGTAGTAACAGAAAGTTACACAGTCATTTTTATTCAAATTTTTTTTTTTTTTGGCATGTTTGATAGTTTATGGAAGACGAATAATATATCATAATTTACGTGAAATATTGTAAAGTGATAGATTTGATAAGAGTTAAAGTAGAATACTTGTATGTGGGGTGGGTAATGTAATTTGATTGTAAAACGAAGGAATTCTTCAGAGGAGGCTGGCTAGAAGAATTGTTTTTGGAGCGCTTGAACTTTCATGATTTCAAATAGCTTTTGAAGACATATTGGACGTGCCAAAAGATTGTTTTCAAGTAGCGTATTACTTTAAACAGAGCTTGGTGATATTATCGTTTGCAGTATTGATCTTGCATCTTCCATTAGATTGTTTTCAAGCTGTGTATTGCTTTAAACAGTACTTGGTGATATTATTGGTTGCGGTATTGATCTAACAACTTCCATTCCAGTTGATGTGATGCATAGGTGGAAATATATATATTTCTTTTTTGTTTAACTAAACATGAGTTGAATAATTTATACACTAGAATACAAATGGCTGTTGGGAAATCCGTCCTGATATCTTCTGTTGGAATTGTTATATTTGGAGATGATTTAGTGGTTATGCATGGAATGGGTATTGTAGGTTGGAATGGTCGGTCTATCTTTGGAGTTGATTTAGTTAATGGTTATCTTCTATTGGAATGGTAATCCTTAGAATCTGTTTACTTGGATTGTCGGTCTCGAGTTTGCTGTAGAGATTTTGCTAATCTTACTTTAGTCACCAGTGTAGGGCTTCAAATGAAATGTCCTGCTATTGGTTTGTTTTTGTTCATTAAATAAAGTTGAGCCTCAACGTGAAATATGAACTTGTTCCAAAAACTAGAAACTTTTTCTTCTCTCTTTTATCTTTCATTTTTTTTTGGAATACTTTACCCATTTATTGATGTAGTAAAATAATTTTAGAGTAATACGTTTTATAAGCTTACTAGTAAGGTGAAGAAGTGTGGGTAATCAATTTATTGATGAAAGAGTTGAGTTTGAATTGTGTGTTTATTTATTTGCAGCTTCAACTTGGTGTGAAACGAACATGACCTAACCTCCATTATTGCAGAGTTATGGAGAATTGGTTCCGTTGAAATATCAAATCACCGTGTCACTGCTAGGCAGAAGTGATTGTTGAGGGATCTGCATTTTTAGCTAAGCAACCAAATACTAGAAAACGACACAGTTGCTAGTTTTGGAGCACCAAAGAGTAGAATCAACCAACCACCCATTCTTAAGTTCCGAATCAAACAAACAAAACATACACTGGCTTCCACCAATTTGATGGAGTCGGTCGGAATTTCAGTCCGTCCGATTGAAATGATAACGACTGAATGATTCCACGTGGTTGTCGACATTGTCCGACATTTTTCCATTTTGTTAATTGTTAGGGGGAGGGAGATGGAAAATGAACAGTTTTATAATTTTATTCTGTGATTCTATCTTTAATAAAAATTTAAGTATAAAACTTTTTTAAATTACAAGGACTATAACTCTTTTGGCATGCAGCCACAAATCAAATGAGTACAAAGTACCATACAGCGTAATTCAAAAGCAAATTAATAGCATAAACGAAACTAATTGTTTAAGCAAATTAAATAATATAAAGAAAATAATAGTTGAAGGAAATTAAAAATCTCTCTAAAAATTATAAAAAATAAAAATAAAAATAATAAAAAGCCTAATAAAATTGTCCTACATCATTAAATTTTTGGGTTAGATTGCGAAGCACCCGACTTGTTATGGTTAGTATCAGAGCGACCTAATCCTTGATTGAATATCACGCAAAATGTCCGACTGAATGGTGTCCGACCCCATCTGATCAGGCAGGATGGTCAGAACTACAATGAAACGTGTTTAAATGAAAGAGAATGTTAGAGGGCACATCAGGCATCTAATAGCTTGAGCTTTAGTTGTTCACAAATAACAAGGCAGAGAGACCATCAAAAAATATATATATACTAATGATAACAAGTTAGAGAGCCCGAGAAGTCCAAAAATAATGGGCCATGATTTAGATGGATTACAATGGCCCAACTTAAATTACAAGTTAGAGCTCAATGGGCTGCTCATATCTGATCTGAATTTTGAGAGGCTTTTCTGAACTTGAGAAAGAAAGGCCATGCCGCGAAGTCCAAAAATAATGGGTTTTATCTAAGGGTCAGTGAACGTGGCTTACACATACAAACGTAACAGCCACACAAACACAATCCCTGAATCCAAACATTGTCCATCCAGCTTACATTAATTACTACAATGTGATCTCGTCTGACTCCCCAGCGGCCGTTCAGCGTATTTTCAAATGATGACGTCGTCGTCAAACAACAAACAAAAAATTGCCACACCCAAAACCCAATCAACCAATTCCACTTCATAATTAACCGACAAACATAGATTTATATATATATATATACTCCAATTTAGATCTGTGTATGTGTGTAGATGGGGAAAAAAATCATATAGGGCACTTGGGTTTAGATTCTTTAGAGTAAAATGGGAACAGAAACTTCGTCATCTGTGGAAATATCGGAACCTCTGCTTCTTGAATCTGAGAAGATCAAGGACGTTGAATACGAGGATTTAGGGAAAATCCCAGAATGGAAAGATCAGATAACAATAAGAGGGTTGGTGGTGAGTGCTATCTTGGGAACACTGTTTTGTATCATCACCCACAAGCTCAATCTCACTGTGGGGATCATTCCCTCCCTCAACGTCGGCGCCGGATTGCTTGGTTTCTTCTTTGTCAAGTCGTGGACTACATTCTTATCCAAATTAGGGCTTTCCATTCAGCCATTTACCAGACAAGAAAACACTGTGATTCAGACCTGTGTGGTAGCCTGTTATGGCCTCGCTTTTAGTGGTACGATTCCCTCCCTCCTGTACATTAGATTTTGTTGCTGTAGATATATATTAGTTTTAAGTCTTGAATACACGCGCAAAATTGTGTTACTTTCTATCTTTAATTCTAGGGGAAATTAATTTTGAGTGGCCAAAGTAATAGTAATTTTGCTCTACCATTAATCATTGAATTGTATATTTCATGTATTCCTCTCTGAATTGTAAATTTTACTTATATTATTGATGTATTCACTCTTCAACATTGCACAACATTGAAACTGAGGCATAGACTTGACTTGTGAATAGATAGTTGTTTCTGAAAGAGCAATAATTATTAGCTAAATCACTTATTTAATGGTAACGGTTCTTTCTACAGGATATTCTTGAGCTGGCTACCTGTGAATAAATGATTATGAAAACCCATCCTATCAACGCCTAATTGCAAATTGGAACCTTTGAAATATTCCATTATATAACTTTAGATTAGCAACGAGACAATAAATGGGACATTGGTTAATACTTTACAAATTGATATTCTATGTGGTATTTCTACAAACACCTGTTCCAGATTTTTTACTCGAATCCTTTTAATAAATTGTTTTTTATGCAGCAAATAGTTTTTATAGTTATATAAAGATTTAACTAGACTGATGGATTGGGAGGTGGAGGGTATTTTTTTTGTAAATAGCTAGTTATGGTGAGTTGCTCTATTGGTTTGATCATCAATACACAGTGAAAAAGAAAGAAGTGAGAGTGCTTTCAGAATTGTGCTCAGATATTAGATGAAGTTATCTCCCTCTAAGAGTCATGTGTGGAGGTCTACTCTTTAGAAGTTGTCAAAATTCAATAAGATTATGATTACATTAACTCTTTTATTATTAGTATTATTCTTATTATTATTTTTCATTCTCAGTTGCAGATTCTTTTAAAAAAATTCTGTGCTGCATTTCGTCTCTCCCTCTTTTTCTTTCTTTAACAACTATCTGTTGCATTTCTTCATTTTAAGAGTTTTTGTTTCTCATTGTACCTTTAATCCATATTGTGCTCATTATGATTCCCTCATTTGATGCAATTTCTAACCTTTAATTATTGATAGGGGGATTTGGTTCCTATTTGATTGCTATGGATGAGAGAACATACAAACTGATTGGTGAGGATTACCCTGGCAACCGAGCAGAAGACATAAAGAACCCAGGCTTGTGGTGGATGATTGGTTTCTTATTCATTGTCAGTTTTCTTGGGCTATTTAGTCTTGTTCCACTTCGCAAGGTAATTTCTGACATTTATATTGCTTCAATGTTGCCATCGACAATATCCTTATTGCTAATATCAGATGATAATTAAGTACAAATGCTCCAGTGGATACAAGTAAAGTTTGGGCATTAGTTAAAGTTATGCTTTTAAGATAGTTTTTATTAGAATGATTCTAAATATGCATGGGATTCTTCATCCAATTTTTGATCTAGTAGGTTTGTACTGAATAATATAATTTCAGTAACCAAGTTGTTAGTTTTTGTAATGTAATTGCCTTCATTGGGCCAACTTGGTAGAGGACTGGGGCGATGTTATATGTGCATCCTTATTGTTGTAAATTAAATATATTATTAGTTATAAATAAGAAAAACCTTCTTGAGTCACAATGGGGTGGGCCCCAACGACCCTTTGGGAGTAGTAGTCTTATGCCGGCTCGGCTTGTGTAGCATTGTTTAATACATAAGTATTAGAGTCATTTACCAAAAACACACACTCCTAAATAAAATACAGAAGACTTCCTTTGTGTATTGCTGTCCAATCTTTACAGGTCTAGTGACGACATTATTCATCATTTATTTTATTTTCTATTTTTATCTTGTATTCATCTTCATTTCTCGAAATTTTACTTATCAAAAAAAAAAAAAAAAACTTCATTTCTCGTAATTTCAGGTTATGGTCATGGATTACAAGCTTACATATCCTAGCGGAACAGCCACAGCGATGTTGATCAACAGCTTTCACACAAGTGCTGGAGCTGAGCTTGCAGGGTATGGAAAAGATAATGCCTTGTAGATATTGAATTGAGAGTTGAGATGTATGGTGTCTTGGTAAGGTTAAATAATTCATTTGAATAAATTATTTATAAAAAAAAAGAAAAAAATTAAGAAGAATTAATAAAGATTAAGGTGGGTATTATCTCTGAGTATCATGGTATTCAAGGATAGGGATAAATTCAGAATTCAGGAATTTTTCTTCAAAATTCAGGAAAAAATCACAAAAGATGTTTTGCTCAGATGCTCAACTTTATTTGGTAAATATTAAATATCAGTTGATATTGTGGGTGCAAATATCTGATATTAAATCAGAAAAGGCAAAAGAGAAATATTAGAAAAGTATATACAAGAAGAGATGTAATATGGTGACATTGTGGCACAATATTCGGTAAGAAAACACGTCAAAATCTATTATATTCATCCACCTAGATGAATTAATTAGTTGAAAAGATGAGTTCCATTAATCAGTCAAGGCTCTCTAACCTAGAAAAATATCTAACCTAAAGTTCCAAATGCCCTCTAACCTACAAAAATATCTAACCTAAAGTTCCAAATTTGAATTGTACAAATCATAGCTAATCAAGTTGAAAGGTCTCTCCTTGAGTTTGATGGCAATGATGTTCCACTATATGATTATTCATCTTCTGTCTATATTTCATCTTGCTTTAGTTGTGAAATTGCTTTGTACTTTCAAGCAAAATTTGAGCACCATCAAGTGCCCCCATACGCCAAATACTGTAGCTCTTTTGGTTCCAAATAATTCCTCTTTTTGTATGAGCTGCTTCAAAGGCAGAATTTCAATTGTATGCATATTTTTACAGGAAACAAGTGAGCTGTCTTGGAAAATATTTGAGCATTAGTTTATGCTGGAGCTGCTTTAAATGGTTCTTTAGTGGTGTTGGAGATTCATGTGGATTTGATAATTTTCCCAGCCTTGGCTTGACGCTATTCAAGAACACGTAAGTAAATTCACATATGCATATATATTTGTTTCATGCTTCATGTGATTTACACATTGCTTGTTCTATTTCTTTGCATTAGGCTTCCATATAAGTCTATCCTTTCATATCAGGCACAACTTTGCTGATGGTAAAGTTGAATTGAATCAGTAACATTGATGGTGATTTACATCAATCTCTATTATGCAGGTTCTATTTTGATTTTAGTCCAACTTATGTTGGATGTGGTCTTATCTGCCCTCACATTGTCAATTGCTCAGTTCTTCTTGGAGCAATCATATCATGGGGTTTTCTATGGCCCTTCATTTCCCAAAAGGCTGGGGCTTGGTATCCGGTTGACCTTGGGAACAATGATTTTAAAGGTCTTTATGGGTACAAGGTATGGTAAACAAATTTTTATTATTATTTATTTTTTATTTATACATGTATATTTTTGTTTAGACAAAGTGTAGAGCCTCACTGCATTTATCCATGGTCCGCTATCGTTGAAGGTTTTTGCTGTTTATTTCTTTAAGTATTCTTCAATAATAACTTGGGAGGTAGAGTCATGAAGCTAAGCTCCTTGGGCACACACCTAGCAGCTAGCAGGCTTTCATCACAAAATTGGAACATTTTATTCTTGTTTCCCTTGCCTAGCTATTGGGTTTTTAATTAAATCATAATTTGTTTTTATCTAGTATTTGGTTATTATTGTGTAAAACCTTATAGAACTTTTACGACACCCAGTTTTTGTTAAGCATGAAGCATTGACAGTGTTTGTAGGGGAATTAATGCCATTGACCTGCAATAGATTTTTAATTTTTTTTTTTTTTACATTTTATGCCATAATTGTTAAAGCTTCTTTTCATGCCATAATTGTTAAAGCTTCATCTTTGTCACTCACCTTTCAAATTGTGCTCTTAATGCTCTAGTCTTTGCAACCACCTCCCTGATCTTTCTTGGTTTTTGGCTGACCTGACCACTTTTTCTACATGTTAAAAGTTGCATTGTTTTTGAACATGCGAAATTTGATTCCAACTTCAACTTTTCTTAGGCGTGGTTTGGAAAAGAAAATTCCAACATGTTATCCCTCAAATTGGTTAAAAAATGAACTAGAGAAGAGAGGAACATGGAAAAATCCAACATTCATAGTTTGTGATACTTGTAAGACATTTGCACTTCTAATTTAAGTGATGATGTTGTTGTGAAGTCCAATTCATTTCTGACTCATCATCGCCATCATCCTTTCTTTTATCCCATATGGATGGAGTCATTGAGAAGTCCCATTCATTTGACTCCGATTTGTTTTCTGTCCCTAAAATGTTGACTAAAGTCAAGGTTCATTTTAATTAAATATTATTGTCATTTTGAATGTTGTTAAAAGGAGTCCAATAAGTGCTTGTATCTTAAAGTGTGGAAATATTTCTCTTTAATATTTTTAGCTGCTGGGCTATCAAAGGAATGGACTCAATTTTTATTTTAGTTTTTTCATTTCAAGATCTCATCATGCTAAAAGAAGGAAATTCTTGATTTTTCACTTTCCTTTCTTTTCCACGGTAAGTTGGCTCTTCATATTGACATCCGATGCGCTAGCATTGATCTTTGCACCCATTCCCTTTTGCAGGTTTTCATAGCCATTTCCCTTATTCTTGGGGATGGCCTTTACAATTTGATTAAGATAATAGTAGTAACTGTCAAGGAAATGTGCAACAGAAGCACCAAACAGAAGAGTCTTCCTATCTTGAAAGAAGAATTAGGTGAGATATAAAGTTCCAGACCTTTGGTAAATGTGTCCATGTGTGCTACTGTGGGCATATTTTTACAGCCAATAAAATTTGTTTTCATGTTTTATAATTATTTTCCCTGTCCTTATACCGTTTTCATTGTATTTTCTCTATTGCTTCTTTGGTAGGGATTTGATTATTATGATCATGTCTGCCATCCTTAGGCCTTAGCACACACTCAAAAGATACAATGTCACCTTCATTTTTCCTTATCTCAAAAACTGGAATTGATAAATGATAATTTTGTGAATGTGTGAGCTGGTTATGACTGAAAGTGGTGGAAAAACTAGGATCCATTTGAAGTTTTCATCATTTGGATTGGATACATGCTTCATATAACAATTTATGAACAATTAACTTTTAATGTTAAAAGTAATGAAGTTTGAAACTTACAATTAACAGGGGTTGGAGTATTGAAAACTGGCTGAAATTTTGGCTTCTTGCTTGTCAAAATATGATGATGGGTAATCCTTGAAATAAGGAGGCTAAACTAGGATCTTGTGAATGAGTGTTGCACATTTATCTTCTATAATGATATTTGAATTATTAACTTTCAATATATAATTATGCTTAGGTAGCAGAAAATCTGATAGATTGGTGGTTTTTTGTATGTGGAGCAATGTCTGTAGATTCATATGTTTGTTGTATCTTTAGCTTTCAATAGCCAAACATGCATGTCTCTCTTATATGTTTGTTGTCTCATTATTCAACCTTTATTTTTATTAGAGAAAATTTTTTTGATGCAAAAAAAAAAAAAAAAAAAACGAAAGAGAAAATTCTGATATAATACTAATCAGAATAATCCTAATTATATTAGAGTTTGACTGATTTGACGAGTATATTTATAAAACAATCTGTTATTGGTCTTTTCGATCTGTTTAATTTTTAAAAATTCTATTTAAGTAATAGTTATCCAATCTCTCAACTCATTGGACCTGTAAGGGGACTACTGGTATTATTATGATTATATGATACATCTCATGTGCAAATTAGGGTCAGCCCTGCCACACTTGTTTATCAGCAGATAGCGTCATATCTTACTTTATGTTGCTTTGCTCTTTGATATTTCTATCACTATGAATCTCTTAAAGCAGCATTCTGCAGAGATATGTGTTCTGTACTGTCTTTATGTGACAAAACCTGACCTTTAATTGGGATTTAATTGTTCCTGGACGTGCTTTTGCACAGATAGTGAGGCTTCCAAATTACTATTGGAGCAAAGGAAAAGAGATGAAGTATTTTTGAAAGATAAGATACCATCATGGTTTGCGGCTTCTGGATACGTGGGTCTGGCTGCAATCACTACAGCTACATTACCAATCATCTTTCCACCCCTTAAGTGGTATCTGGTCCTTTGCTCGTATATTATTGCCCCTGCCCTTGCCTTCTGCAACTCCTATGGAACTGGACTCACAGACTGGAGCTTGGCTTCAACTTATGGAAAGATTGGTCTTTTCATCATTGCTTCATTAGTTGGAAGCAATGGCGGGGTCATAGCCGGATTGGCAGCATCTGGGGTCATGATGGCCATTGTGGCCACTGCAGCTGATCTCATGCAAGATTTCAAGACAGGCTACCTCACTCTATCATCAGCGAAGTCTATGTTTGTGAGCCAGTTAGTCGGAACAGCCATGGGTTGTGTCATTGCCCCACTCACATTTTGGTTGTATTGGACTGCTTTTGATATTGGGTCCCCAGATGGTCCGTACAAAGCACCATATGCTGTTATATTTAGGGAAATGGCCATACTGGGAATTGAGGGCTTCTCTGAGCTTCCGAAGCATTGCTTGGCCATGTGCTGTGGGTTCTTTGTGGCAGCTCTGATTATAAACCTCTTGAGGGATGTAACTCCGTCAAAGATTTCCCAATTTATTCCTATTCCAATGGCAATGGCGGTTCCATTTTATATTGGAGCTTACTTTGCAATTGACATGTTTGTTGGGACTGTGATACTGTATGTGTGGGAGCGATTGAATAGGAAGGATGCAGAAGACTATGCAGGGGCAGTAGCATCGGGGTTAATATGTGGCGATGGGATTTGGACAATACCATCTGCAATCCTCTCCATTTTCAGGATAAATCCACCCATTTGCATGTACTTTGGGCCCTCTTTGAGTCGCTGAGCAGGTAAATCATGCACTTGATTGTATTCATCTGTTATTTATAACTGGAATTGTTTTTGGGACCTGTAAATACTAAATATTTACGATTTGCATAAATATCCATGTGCTCTTCTTTAAACCTTAAGCATGCATATTAAAAGACTGTTTGAGCTGCATTTTATATGGTCTGATTGACCGTGATAGTTTTTGGCATGAAACATTACAGGGGATGGCGAACTTAGCTTTAATATAGAAGAATTTTCGGTTGCATATTTTGCAGTAACATGACATGCGATGATGTAAATCGTAGGAGTGAAGTCAATAAGGCCTTTAAGAGGAAGATGTTCTATACTATGATCTCCTGTGCTCCCAATTTTTCAGTGGTAGCAAAGGAATTGATAAAATGATCCTCTACACGAAAAGTATTTTATGGTGTGTGAAACATTCTGCATCAAAACAAAAGAGCATTGGTAACTAATTACAATCGTGTTAAATTTCGTTCATTATTCAGGCGTGCATTAAATTGATGAATAAGTCGTAGACAGAATATTATTCAGGCTTGGATTGAAATGATGGATTAGTCGTCGACGGAGTTCTTACTATGGTAATAAGACGATTGCAGTGTCGTTGTTTTACTGTAGTTATTTATGATTTTTTAATCCTTTCAGACTATCAATTTATAGAGTGCTACCAGAAAATGTTTTTTTAGGCAGCAATATATGAAAAGTTGATGGTGGGACAAACTAGATCACTTATTACTTGGTGTGTTAAAGAACAGAGAGTGGGTGAACAAAACCCAGTATGATTAGAATCAATTAAGGCAGACCTAAACTTTAGTATTATTTGTATAAAAGGAGTGTCATTTCCCAACTTCTCATTTGTTCTTTATGCTTGACAGTCTCACTGCGTATAGAGTAGTTGTTGGTCCTAAAATAGTAATTGGGCAAGTAGTAGTGTAATTTCCCCCCCTAAGATTTAGAATGGTAGTTTGAAATATTATTCCCAAGACTGAATTATTTTGTGAATAGAAAGAAAAATCAATTTCTTAAAAGCTACGTCTAAATGTAGACAGTGAAATAGGAAAGGGTTGTAATTGTACATCAATCGAGCACATGGTAGAGATTGTGACCACTCTTTTGCTGGGACCAATAAATTCAACTAGAACCTTTGTTTTTTGTTTTTGTATTGAAAGGTAAGTGTAAGGTATAAAGGTAAAATGTACAAACCCAATTAATGGGGGCCTAGGAGAAAACAGAGGGCATGAAGCCTATGACCACCCATAGGGGAGAGAAGTAAGAAGCTCAGTTCATGATTCTGCTCTCAAAAAGTATGAAAATAATTATCAAAGGCGCATTTATTTTGTCCAATGACTCTAATGCTAATAACCTCTCTCCCTATCTTCAAAGTCTGGAGGGTTTGAGCTTAGGGGTGGGTGAAAAAGGAAAAAGTGCGTGAATTATGTTTATTGTCAATATAAAAAAAAAAAAAAGAAAAAGAAAAAAGAGTATGAAAATAAATTTTAAATGCTTTAATAATTTGATTGAAAATGATGGTGACGAAGAAAGAGGTGAAAAAATGTTAGAAAGAAAAGAAGAGAAGAGCATAAATGAGGAATTAAAGAAAAGAAATAGTCCATGAAAAAAGAAAAGGAAAGAAAGGGAGAGGACATAAGAGAGATGTGACATACTGACATGAGGATATTGGTGTGGTCCATGCTTATCAAAATGACCGACTTCATACGGGATTCTGGTTTTATTGGAGCTCACTCATTGGGCTGCTGCCTACTTGTTTCTTCTTTCTTATTAATTGTGGTACAATTTACCTACTACTGCCGCTACTACTAGTATAAGTGTCTATTCATCTGGTATCAAATATATATATGGTGCTAGTGGACAGAGTGAGACTGAAAAGTTAGTTTGTATGCATGTAAAGTTTATAATATTAGTGAAATCCCTCATAAAACAATTGAATTCCGAGGAATACATATATTTTTATGTGGTACGTATTTATTATATGCCTAAATTGATCCAAGATGCGCCCACTTTTCTTGGGGGGGGTCTATCTATTTGCTTTCTACTGCTACCAATGCCTTCTTACTTGGTTTACCAAGTAGTGGGATGCTGAAACTATTCTTAACAATACAATTGAAGAGACATCTTACGCGTTTGGCTATCATGAGAATATGATCTTCTTATAAATAATTGACAATACTATCTAGTGTATAGTATAGACAATGTCATCATTTAATAATAAGTAAATACTCCTCCAATATTAATGGTGGAATATGCTGTATGATTTGATTGACCCTATTCAATTAGTGCAGTGGAGGACTGAGGAGGTTGGAACCCCAGTTGCATTACAGCATATAAAATAAAACAAAAAAAATACTGTATTAAGAAATGGCAGTGGTAGACCAAGTCATATAACAATCATCAACACCAATAAATAAATATAATATTGGCTATCAAAAAAGAAAGTAAAGAGACCCTACACATAACGCACTGATAGGATGGAATTTGAGTGCTAAACTAACTGATTTTACGAAGCAAAATTCTATCATTCTAATAATTGCCAAGTTTCATGTTTGTGTTGTGTATGTGTACGTATGTGTGTGTGCATATATCATCTCTTGTAAGAAAATAAGCTTTTCCGTCTTTTATTTCCCTCTGGTTTTGAATTTCTTATTTATTTATGACTCTCATATGGTAGAACATGGGGTTGGGTATATTAATTTGCAAGAAGTGTGGGAGAGTATATTAATACTATAATTTAGAGTGATGAAAACAATACAAGTGGTGGAAGATAGTATTTGGATATATTATATATTTGATTAATTTGAATATAGACCCGAATAGGAAAGTACTGGAACTAGTTGGTGGTTTAATTGAGATATTAGATTCTAGATTATACTAATATACCACTAATTGAGAGTGATTAACGCCTCTTGTCATCTTAAATAGGCCAAACATAACTTTGTAGAAAAAGGAGAGAGGACTCAAGAGGAGGGGTGGGTTTGAATGGATTTAAGACAAATCATAAGATAACACCAACCTTATCTCTTACGGAAATATATATATATATATATATCTTATATTTATGATTAAAAAAAAGAAAAGAAAAGAAAAAAGACTATATATAGAAGCAAAGATCTGTTTCCCATTGAAGAAGTGGTGGATGTGAGAGATTGGGATGATATTTTGGTTTAGGTTTGAAAAGAGGTGGTCCTCTTTGTCTCCATTATGGGAAGCACCATTTGACACCCAACTCAATCACCTACACACAGCCCCTCCATTTCCACCATCCTTCATCATCATCTCATTAACACTGTGGATTCCTGCTCTACCGTCTCCACATCAAACCAAGCTTTATAATTTTAAATTTAAAAAAAGAAAAAGAAAAAGGTAGAGAAGTAAAGCCAAGCTCTTACCGCCCTTATATTGCATGATTCATGCAAAAATCCTAAAGTTGCTTAGTAATTAAGTTTGAGAGAATGATAAAAGAGAAAAAGCAATATAACACACACTCAAACTAATAACTTGTGATAATAATAATAATGCCCCCACTACAAGTGCTTGCTACGATACAATTAACTCGGTTGACTCACTTACCTTTTTACCTTAGGTGGTGCAATAAGCACGGGTTGATTAATGTAGTAACCATGCACCTCCAATTTTTAACTTTCTAGATTACTTAATTACTATATAATTACTTTATGTACAAATAACGTTTCTTTATAATAATCTGAATACATAGATTGGATGGAGACTCGGTAATGAACACTTGGACAAGGGTGTCAAAATTTTTATTATATATATAATGAAAGAATCAACACAGTCGTTAACCACTTTGAAATGCTCATCTGATATTGAGCATATCTTGTTCTTGTTGGGGAAGCTTCGGGCTAATAATATATGACGTCAGATTCCCCTACTTTCATATATGGTTGAAGTTTCTTGAAACCTCATTTGCTCACTTTTGAATGGAGACATTAATCATACCTACTTGCTCACTTTTGAATTTTGACAATAAAAGCAACTTTGGACTAATTGTCCCCATCAATTTCATTCTTACTAACTAGTTTTCTAAATTATAAACACACACATATACATATAACCTAAAGCTTTCGCATCTTCTAAGCCCAAGGTTACTTTCCTCTACTATTTATAAACGAATCGGAAGTCCTTAGGTCAGCAACATGGGCTGAAAAAGTAAAACATGAAATCTTAACATTTTTTTTACATCTACCTACATGTAATCATTGTATACAAGTATAATATATAATTATATAGTTTGGGAAGCTATAAATTAATTAGTTATTCTAAAATTACTTGGAATAATTTGAGTGGCGCTGGTATATAAGTATTTATTGTAATTGCCAAGTCAAATGCAATAGTGACATGTAAATATGCAATCACGTGACTCTCTCATTACCAGGGAATTATTGTCACCTAATATTTAGGGATTTTAACTTCTACATTTATTTATTTATAAGTACATATCATATGCATAACACCTGCACCTATTATTATTCAATCCTGGAAAGAGTTGGCCACGTACGACCTAGTGCGTGTGTGTGTGTGTGTATATCTAAGGAAAATCGCTTTCAACGCGGAATTGAAAATGGGTTACCCTGTGAAGAAAAGAAATTGGGCATCTTTGTCATCGGAGTGATTTAAGGGAGTTGTTGTCATTTTCCTTTTACTTGGGACGTTTATTCATGTCCACTCAAACTCGAAACTTTTATTTATTTCTTTATTTTATTTACGTCTGTTGACAAATGTACAATCGTGAGTGTTTCCTTATCATAAAACAAAACAACCAACATCCATCTTTCTGCTCTCTTTCTCGAGCCTACTGCCAGTCAAGAGGTTTAACTATATATATCAGAATTATTAAGGCTTGATGCTATTGTGGATTAAAAAAAGAACATGGGTCCCACTAAAACACATCTAGAGGCTGAGAGAGTCTCGGCTGCTCGCCATTTCGGTCAATCTAATAAGCTTCAATAGCATTGTTCTAAAATGAGAAGTCCCTGATGAATCAGAGGTAATAAGACTGATTTAGTCTTTTTCAGAATCTTAAAACGAAAATCTAAAAAATAAAAAAAAATTGAGACACCCACTTCTTAAATTCATGGATTCTAAATAAAAAGAGAAGCATATAAAAGTCTTATGCATAGAGTTAAATTGGAAGTAATAATATGAAAGATGGGATTCTGTACATGGCCCAGAAGAATCACAAACTCCTGCATTCAGGGTCCAAGGACCCACAAAGTATCCCTAAACGGAAAAAAGGATGAAACCTCAGTTTTTTCTACTGAAAATGCAACAGAAGCCTCTCTCTCACTCTCTCTATATATATATATATGGTCCATCTATCTCTTGTTGCTTCTGATTCCATCATTTAGTGTGGATTAGTGTATATTTTATTGTAATTTTCATTTTAATAATGTTTAAGGATGGGCCTAGAGTGGGTTAAAAGCGACCCCAGTAATCCTAATCCATACAGAGCCTGTCAGGTGTCACCATCCTAAGCCTCCGGGTGGAAACTTGAGTCACTTGCAAGAGATGGATGGTATCCATCATCATATGGAGTATTGTTTTGCTGTTACATACAATAATAACATGTGAGTCTTTTTTTTTCTTTTCACAATAACATGTGAGTCTGAAAATGGTGAATTTGGCAGTTAAAAGGCTCTGTCAAATCATAACTAGTCAAAACAAACCCACCACACCACAATGAGGAAGAGACAGAGTTAGTACTATTACTCTACTGCTACTACTACGTGTCTACATTGGGATTACAATTTTTACTTTTTCACATTCCCTTGCTATAAACAGTGAAAAGACATGAATGTTAGTGTAATAGACAATTCTTGTTTAAAAGGAAGAAAAAATAGACACATTTTGAGGTCATCTTCTTCCATCAATCTAAGAGGACCCCATAAAATAATAATAGGTATGGATCCCAAGCAGCCACCGCAGGATGTGCCTGGCTTTCTCGGCCTCCCACAATCAAACACAAACATGGGTGAGAACAAGCCAGCTGAAATTAAAGACTTCCAGATTGTGATTGCAGACAAAGAAGAGGCTGCTAAGAAGCAGTTGGCCCCAAAGAGGACATCTAACAAAGACAGGCACACAAAAGTTGAAGGCAGAGGAAGGAGGGTAAGGATGCCAGCACTCTGTGCAGCTAGAATTTTTCAATTGACCAGAGAATTGGGTCACAAATCTGATGGAGAGACCATCCAGTGGCTGTTACAGCAGGCTGAGCCCTCAATAATAGCCACCACCGGGACCGGAACCATACCGGCCTCAGCCTTAGCAGCAGCAGGAGTCTCTGTTTCACATCAGGGGAGCTCCATATCAGCCGGATTACATCAAAAGATTGACGATTTGAGTGGTCATATTGGGGGCTCTGGAGGAGGAGGAGGAGGAAGTAGTAGGACCAGTTGGCCGATGATAGGTGGGAATTTGGGAAGACCCCATGTGACCACTGCGGGTCTATGGCCCTCTGCTGCTGTCGCTGGTTTTGGGTTTCAGTCTTCACCATCATCATCTGGTCCATCAACAGCCAATTTGGGCAGTGAAAGTTCCAATTATCTGCAAAAAATTGGTTTCCCAGGGTTTGACCTGCCCGTGCCCAATCTAGGTCCTATGAGTTTTACCTCAATTTTGGGTGGTAGTAGCCAGCAGCTACCTGGGTTGGAGCTTGGGCTCTCACAGGATGGTCACATTGGGGTTCTAAACCCCCAAGCCTTGAGCCAAATTTACCAGCAGATGGGACAGGCTAGAATGCAACAGCAACAGCAACAGCAGCATCAGAATCAACATCAGCAGCAACCTTCCTCCAAGGATGACTCTCAAGGCTCAGGACAGTAGATTCCGAGAAAAAATATATATATTTTAGTTTCAATTTGGGAGGAAAGATTGAAAAAAAATAGCATGTTAAGAAGCTGGGTTTTTTGGTTAATGGTTTCTGTATTATATAATTGCAGAAGGAAAGAGGGAACTAAGAATTCAATAGGGACTGGATTTGGCTTACCCCTTCCTTTTTGTCTCCACTACTTCTTCCAAGTTTCTAATTACAGGTGCTTCTGCTTTTTTTTTTTTTAAACAATTTTTTCTTGTATAAATCATAAGAATTTTATGTATTAGTGTTGTTTTTTGTAAAATTGTTTCTGGTGTGGAATGTGCAGGTGGAACTGTGCATGGCCAAATAGCTTGGGGTTGGGCTTAAATTATTGTTTATATTTCAGAGGTGGGTTGATTATAGTGTAAGGCACCCTTTATTTTGTTCTCCTTAGGTATGGTAGAGTGCTGATGAGTTTGTTTGTGAAAATAGATATAAAATTTCTTACTCATACTAGTGCAATGTTCTTCTGAATGTAGGCAACTTCAAATAGTTGGAATAAGGCTTTGTTGAGTTAAGCTGAATAAGAGTTTTTGGTTATGTAACATATTCTTATGTTTTGCACAAAAGAGGCAGTTGTTATTCACATCTGGCTTTCTCCATTTCCCATTCAACTGTTATGTGTGTCTACACCCAATATATCACTGCTTTGAATCAATCACACTTTGTCTTTCACATCTGGCTTTCTCCACTTCCCATTCAACTGTTATGTGTGTCTACACCCAATATATCACTGCTTTGAATCAATCACACTTTGTCTTGGAACCCATTCTAGCCCTTGTTATTCCATTAATTAATCTTGAAACCCTTTTCTTTCTCTCTTCAATTATGAAATTTCATCTCAAGGATCTAAATCAGCTCTTTATTTGAGAATTTACTTGAACTTTAGGAAGAGCAGTGAGATTGAAAAAACAAACTTAGTAAAACTAACCAGAACGATTTAACAGATTTGAGAGGTGACTTGCCCAGAGAATACTTTTATCACTTTACAAGCTTTGTTCTCTCAGTTGTGAGGAAACAGGTAGTACAATTTTGTGTGACACGCAACTATATCATGTTCAATGTGAATTTAGAAATATGGATATGTGTAGTTAAAAAAAAATCTCTAGCAAAAACTAATGTAACCTTGCTATATGGAACAAGAGCTCAGTATTAGTTGTCTTCAGGCCTTAGAGTCAATGAATGGTAGAAATCATTTACAGGAACACATTCAAATTAAAATGTACAGAGACTTGGAATCTTAGTAACTTTCATTCATATGACCCCTTCTTATTTAAGTACAGGGTGGTAGAACATCATTGTTTATAGTAACTTGGACCATAGTCAGCACATTACATGATTTGGTTCCAAATGTCCGAGTGTCAGCACGTAAAGGTGTGGCTCAGCTGAAATCCTTATGCAAGGTGTGCCCTTCGGCCTTCTGAACAGTTGCACCTTGTGCTCAAACCTGTTTATATCTTGATTATTATTCCTCTATGATCCAAGGTAACTACAGAATGTTGTACTTTATGCTTGCATTTCCTCATTCTCATTGTATCATTATGTTGTTTCATTCCATTATGCCCATGTTTAGAAACTCTTTCGTAAGTCTAGTTTGATTTTTGTCAGCTTTTCTAGTGCTTAGTTCCCCACACAGGATAAATGATCTACTAGTTATTGGTTCAAAATGTCTCCAATTGCTCCCTCTGCTACTTTAAATGTTGCTCACATTTCTTTAATACTCTTTAGGTTCCTTATGTGAACTAGCACTGGAAACATAGCAAAGGAAATGTCTCTAATATAATGAATCTGCTATTCTTTAAATAACGTAGTTGCATTCGGCTTTCCTTCTGAGTTCAAATGAAGTTTAGCTGAAAAACTTTATGTCAAGAGGGATTGTGAAAAAATATGTATGTTTTGAGGAACAACTAAAACTTCAGACGGGGAAATGATCATATAGAAACAGGACAGAAACCATATTGAGGAATGATGCACAGAAGATATAGATGTTTAGTAAATAAACTCCATCTCAATTTCTCATTTTCTGAGACCGATATTTGAGAAACCACATTAGTAGTCGTCATTGAATATATATATATATATTCCTTTGGTTCTTTGATTTCCTGTCCTGTCTTTAAGAACTTGAGTCAAAAGAGAAAAGAACAAGGGAGTAAAAGGAGTATCACTTTCGAAGATTGAACTTTACTTTTATATACACATTGGAGTTGCAACATCTTTGGATCCTCCTTAGAGTCGTCAGCTTTCACTTTTTTATCACCCACATAACCTCAGGGCAAGCCATGGTATGAGTGGTCTCACCAACACTGTTGTTGCCTATTCACCATACTGAGGAGAGACCAGGAAGCAAGGGGTTATTCTCAACTTTTTATTTTATATTTGCACTGAAGCCTTACCCTAGTTTGAGGGGTTATTCTCTTCCCACTTGTGTCCCCACAAATCCTTAGTCTTGTAAAAAATGAGTAATTAACTTTGGACTTTAACCTTTTATATAGCTGGAAAATCTCAATTTCTAGCATTTGGACTACAAATTGAGTCCATTTTTCACCGCTACTCTTTCACATTACTCCAGAATCTAATAACTTTGCTTTCAAAAGTCAGATATACCAAATTTGAAGCAAGGACTAAGGTGTATGCAATTATATTGGTTACATTTATGGAAACTTGATACAGCTGAACAATTTGACATAATCTTTGATTTACTTACTTAGTTACCTGGAGCTGAAACTAGGTAGTGGTGCTTTCTCCAGTGACAAAAATTGGTGGGTGAAAAGTAGTTATTCTAATAACATTGGACATCATTGCATTGCATTGTAAAAGCAGTCAGTTTCATTTTAGTTCCGTTTCACATCCAACATAATTATTTTGTACGGACTTGTCTGCACATTTGTTTGACTCTCCCAACGCCAAATTTGATTGAACCCGCACATTTTTCCCAACTCATCTACACACATTTCCGTCCAATTAAGTTGGTAAATGGTTGTGACCACCGACTTCCGTGCCCTGAATCATCTTTAGTTACAACACTTGGTAAGAAATTTTTTTCTCAGTAAATCATTCAATTATCAATGTTTTTGGATTGTTGAATACGTATTTCACCAATTTTAATGTTGTGCGAACCTACCTGTGTCTGTGTTTTTGTGATGACAGCACACGTTAACGAACGTATAGGGAAAGGAAATGTGGAGGAGTAACTAATAGGTTATTGTGGTCCCTCCTAACTTATTGGGTATAAATTCAATTCAATCAAACTTTATTTTTTCCCTGACTGAAATATGATAATGAGGGGGAGGGGACCTAAGTCAGTTTTGGTACGATTTTGTATTTATCATAATATATACACTACTCCTAGTATATTATTGTGAGACGAACCAATGTTGATGGTCCAGGTGTTGAAATATGGGGTTGACCACACACACCATTCTTCTACACCTCATATTTCCACGAAATCTGCCATATTGACCCGCCATCATAAATTGCATTAGCCTTCTTTTTTCTTCTTCAGTTGACAATTCATGTGTCAGTCAGTCATCATAAATGCACATTTCATATCATGCTCAGTAGGGAGGACTTGGTACAAATTCTATTGTGCGCTGGTGACTCGTTCAGCTGGACTTGATACGGTGCTACTTCAATTCACACGTCTTTATTGGGAATGTGAAAACAAAATAACACAACACCAAATGCTTAATTTGGACACCGTCTCTTACTCTTAGCGTATGTTAGATTGATTGATTGATTTATTCTAAGTGATTACTACACACCAATTGGCTGTCACAACGGAATTATTGTACATATATACTCGGAAATTCTAATGAAAAAACTTAAGCCTTTGCTTTTAAGCTTTAATAACTTATTGTAAGGTGAGACCAGCTCCAAATTTATCCCTTTTTTTTAGCGGACATGGTTTGTACTTGGGTTTCTTAGACCAATAGTCTCCTCCATTCCTAGGATGAAATTTAGCCTGAAATTGATTGGTGTTCCATTTATACGAGGCCATTAATAAAATTCCCAATCTCTCTTTCTACGGAGAGAGAGACACGTGGAGAGGTTTGGAGGGGTGGCCAAAGAGCACTTCATGAAGCCTCCCAGAATTTGATTGATTTATTTATTCTTTTTTTTAAATAAAATAAAATAAGCATTCATAATATATTTTATTGACCGACCAGAATTATCTCCCAGACATGCACATGGCCGGCCATTAAGAACAATAAGAATGCAGAGGGAACAATGTTCCAAAATAAGTTTTGGCAAGGCCCATATTCACAGGAGTAATATATCTTCGGTCAGATTTCAGTTTAAGAAACAATATTTTCAAGGGCCCATGGAAAAAGTTGTGGCAGATCAAAGTCCAAGAGCAAAGGCATTAGAAAATCACATTCCCAACTACTACTTGTACCAAATCAAACAGCGCATTAAGTTTAATTTTATGCAACAAGATGTCTTAATACAACTAGATGTAACAACTTTAAGCCAGTGCATTGAAAATCAGTAAATCTTCTGGATAAGTTTGACACAAGCAAAAATCCTGGGACATAGAGGTGGTACCCAAAAAGCCCTGTCCTAATATGCAGGAAATATAGAGTAAACTCTCCTAGTTCATTCTCTGAGCAGCCTCCTTGGCCAGAAGCCTCTCTTTGGCCTTGGTTTTTGCTTGAGATTTGGAGCCCATGATACCACCACCCCACTTCTTCCTGTATTCATCGTACTTGTCATTGAAGTTGGCCTGAAATATATATATTAAAAAAGACACAAGATGATATCAAAACACGGAAGCTTCACAGGTCAGAGGATTTATAAGAAATTCAATTTTACAGCACCTTGATGGCCTCTAAGATTTTGCTGAACTCCAATTTATCTTCATTCTTGACAGTGGTCAAGCACAAAGCAGCCGCAGTTTTCTGATGGACAATCTGCCGGGGAAAAAATATATATACGAGTATTCAACTCATGATTCTCGCTTTTAAGGGGCAGGTTAAAACTACGTGATTGTGGAATATTTACCGTTCCTAATCGTGATTTTCCTTTCACAATGCAGTATGGAATTTCCATCTTTCTGCACAATGCAGGGAGCCAGACGACCAACTCTATTGGGTCCACATCATGAGCAATAACTACCAACTGTGCTTTGTTCTGCAAGAAAAGTGTAGTTGGAATTTTGTTATTTGGTAAAGAAACCCACTGCTAGAGAGCAATTTACCCTGAAATATGTACGTGCCAAAGAAAGAAAGGAGGCTGAAGCAGAAATAACACAACACCTGCTCAATGAGGTAGGTGACATGGTTTAGACCATACTTCACAACAATAGGCTTCTTAGCCTCGACAGTTTTGCCTTCAGTCTCAGCCTGAGCCCTTTTCAAGAGGCGCTCCTTTTTTGCTGCTTTGTCTTCAGGCCTGTATTTGAGAAGCATCTTGAACAGACTTGTTGCTACATAGATTAGAAAAGGTTAGTTGTCAAAGCAAAACCAAAAACAGAAGATCAAACATGGGAAATACAAGACAAAACAGACATCACAAATACTTTAAGATATCCACAATGACAATGCTTCAAAACATTAAGTTCATATCTATTGAACATTCTTGCCATCACAAATGCTTTAAAATGTCAACGACAATGATTCAAAGCATCGAGTTCACATGGATTGAAATGAATATTTTAGTAATAAAAATGTTAAAAGTGATCTTAAAATAAACCAGGTCTGATACAGGGAAATGGGATATTAGTCCAAAATTCAAAGCCTATTCTAGAAACATTTAGTAGTCAAAGCAAAAGCATAACTGAAACATCAAATATAGGAAATACAATAATCAACTAATTGAATCACAAATGCACGAAGGTTCCACAAAGACAATGCTTCTGATTAGGTTAAACTAATATGGGTTGACATGAACATTAAAAGCTTAAGAAATTAAAAGTTTTTCAAAATATATCAAACTGGTATTCAGTCCTAGCAGGGACAGGGACACCATACGAGAAAAACACCACAAAAAATAGTCAAGGAAAAAAAAATACAAAAGTAGTATACGGACATGGAAAGGATCAGATGATGAAGATGAACAAACATCAAATACATAATCTTTACTGCTAGTCCTTTACTATACCAAATACCTTCATGAGTACCATCACCACTCCCTTATATCTTTTTCACAACGATATTATTTTTTGTATTATGAAATTGCAACATGCTTGACTTATTTGGAAACGTGGATGTTGTCCAATCCCTTCTGAAAAGATCTTAGACATGTATGAACCGTGTCAGACACACTTGTACAAGAGTCAGAGAAGTGCCATGTCTAAAATCTAAATGACAGGCCTTGGGATATTTTATTTTATTAATTGTTGGGTCTATAGTTAAGCCATTCAAAATGACCATCATACATGAAATGCAATAAAATGTTGGATATATTACATTGATTTGCAATGAAGTCGCTCATAATCGCATATACTTACCCTATCAAACTCAACTGCAGAAGAAATTAATACAACTGTTCTTTTACATTTATGCCCTGATATGCTGATCAATGTTTTGAAACTTGAAACACAAACTCAACCTGAGAAGTCATAAGTCGGCAAAAAACTCGATCTAGCAAAAGACTTGAGCCTTGGATATATAATACAAAAACACTAGCATGTGACTATTTAAAATATATCTTACTACTTTTATTTATTTAGCTAGTTTCTATCATTATTATTATTGTTTTTTGATAAGTGTAAAAGTATACCTTATTTTAGCCACAAAACTAAATGAGCCAACAACTGATATCCGCAAGGTACAAAATTACAAGATGATCTACCATAGTCCATATATAGCATTTGAAATAAAATTTAATTTAAATTAACAAGCATCAAATGGTAAATGCAAGTATACAAGGTTAGCACGTAATTTCACTTCAATGTTATCCAATCCACAGCATTTTAACTTGGTGACCTAATCCAGTCAAAACTAAGGGCCTGTTTGGCATGCGTTATTTTTTGATATTGATATTCAAATTTGGGCCAATATCATGTTTGGGACGGCTGATATTGGTTTGAAATAGTTCATAACATAGATCACATTTGGTGATATTGTGTGTTTTGATATTGTAGCGGAAGAATTAAAGCAAATTTTTGAATTTCTCAAAACAAATTTTCAATACCAAACATGGTACCAATTTCTACCCAAAACACTCCTACGACAAAACAGGTATTTTGGTATTGACCAAAAACATAACGCCTAAAACACATTGCATGCCAAATGGGCCTAAAACTTTGACATGTTTAGATTTTCCATTAAATTAATCATTATTTGACTGATCCTAGTAAATTCAGCCTAACTCAACCGAGTCAAGTTCATATTTTTGAAAAATTACATTAATTATAAATATTTAATTACAAAATCTGCTCTCTTCTTCCATCTCTCTCCAGTTTACATATTTATATACCATGGTCTCTCCTTCTCTGACTAGCTTCATCAGGCTTCACCATTGCCATATCCCACCATTCAAACCTCCAATACCATTAGCCAACACCAAACTATTAGGAACTATGGCTTTTCCAACACAAGTAAACAACCCAAACCATCGGCAACCCATCATCTTGAATACGTCACCACCACCTGATCCAACCCTCTCACCACCACAATCATCAAATCCATAGTTATTAAAGGCACTAGAAAAGGCTAAATCAAAGCACTTAACCCTACTACAGGTGAGACTCCATCAGGCAGGTGCACATAGAACCCTCATGCGTGCACTTTTCAACAAGCTTTCAGGTAAAATAGAACGCCTTTAATTTTTATCATTCAATCATATCTTCCGGTTTATTTTCTATTGATCATTAATAGACATACTCCATATATTGGTATGGTGTCCTTTTTGTTTACATAATTGAAAGTGATAAATCTAAAATTCACATATTGGTTGAATAAAAAAACTCCCTACTACAAAACCTTCTTTATTTTGTTGATATGTTATGTTCTTAGAAATTGTAACCTCTTCTTTCTTCAACTTTTTAAACCCAGTTAAGAGAGATACATAGAAAATGGAGAATGGCACTATGGCAACCTAATTACCCCTATTTGATATTACAGTGTGATTGAATTGAAGTCAAGAGGACCATAGGAAGTTACAAAAATACCTCGTGAGTTGAGTTTAACAAAACTGACGCAAAATGAGGAAGAAAGAAAAACAGAGGATAAAGGGTGTCATATCATTGTAAATTGGCAAAATTTGTAGACAAACCATAGTTGGGCTCATTATTTTCACCTTTGATTGTGCTAGTTGACTTGAGAAAATGAATGGTAAGTTTTAAAGAGACAGCAGGGAGAATATTGTGGAGCAAAACACAAGAAAATAGGGAGGAAAGATGATAGGTGTTGACATGTTCATATTTGACATGTTTCATAGTCTGACAAGAATGGTCACACACTTTTAAACCGAAAGAAACAAATAACAGCAAGCACTGCAAATTGTTAAACACCATATGCTATTTTCCAAGATGCTAAAGTGAGTGCTCCAATCGATACTGATACCTATGCCTAGCAGCCAATAAAAAAATTTTGCCAACTTAGCCCTATCAGTTCAATACAAGAAGCAATAACAATCTCTACGCTCATCACGAAGAATTCCTAATAGCCTAATGCAAATTTCAGTGATAAGATACCCACAACCATATAGCTTTGATAAGTTTATCAATCTATACAATTACTGGTTTGTGATTGCTAGGAATCAATCTATAAAACAATAACATTTTTATCAGCTAATACCAATAGAAACCTTTACAAATAAATCTAATCCTAATTTTTTAGATACTACAAGCTAATAGAAGTAACTTCCAAGGCCACCTAAATAAATTAACTACCTAAAAGGGTAAGGAATTCCCTAAATGTTGAATGTATGATACACTATTTGAAGGCTTTAAAACCTTATGGATAACAGAAGCATTCCAAAACTTCAATTTCCAGACAATATAATATTATAATAAGTCACCAACAAGGTGGAAACAGCAAGTCAAAAAGGGCAAACAGAAAGCATTGTATTGAAACTACATTAGAATACTTTGAAATGTTATGGAGACTAGTTAAAAAAAATAAAAATTGCACAAAAATTTGATGGCTAAATATAAATAGTAACTGTTCACATAGACATTGATGATTGAACAAATGCCTCGCCAAATAGAACTTTTTCTCCATCCGATACATAAGACATAAGTTGACTACCCCGAGTTCAAAACAGGTTATATATAGGCAAGTCGATTGACAAAAAACAATCTTCCTTCAAATCATACAGGACATTTAAGAAACTTTATGCAACTTAATTTTATGAAATTCAATTCTCACCAAGGTTCTTGTCAAGTGTCTTGGTGAACTGATTCAAGGTTGGTGGGACCTTCAAACGCTGCTTCAGGATCCTTCTTTTCCTCTGAATCCGAACAACTTGTGGCCACTTCACAAATCGGTGCAGATCCTTCTTAGGAGGCAACGCCCCTCCAATTCCAAACTGCTTCGGACGTTTCTCAAATAAAGGGTTCACCACCTTCTCCTAAAAATATCAATAAAATCACACTAACTTGATAAATTGCCACTTAGTACAAATCAATAAAAAACACTTTATACAAACACACAAAGATATGTGTATATATATATGTGTGTGTGTATAATAAATAAATTCCTACCGGCTTCTTCTTCGCTGCTGCAGCTGGAACTTTTACACCTCTCTTTGGAGCCTTCATATCAGATAAAACAATAATATGAGATTCGCATCTATCGAAGCAGCATTATAGGAAAACAACACGAATATCATGTTAACACTCCGATAAAGTGAAATTTACCGAAATAAAGTAAAAACATAAACACAAACATAACCATTCCCAAAAAGTGTGACAAGTTTGAGAAATGTCATCGACACACCAAACCCTTGAAACAAAGATTGAAGAAAAATGTACAGACTAAGAAAAAAGAACAGAAAAAATAAGATAGAGAGAGTTCAAGGGTTCACCATTTTTGCACGATAAGATCTGGTTATCTCTTGCTATTAGGGTTTAAGAACGTCGAAGCGCAAACCCTAAAAACAATGACATCCCCAGTCGTGGTCGAGCAAAGTGTGATTATATATTAGGTTGTTAAATGCTTGGAGACGCCGTCGTCTTTTGTTGATCTTCTACCAAACGGCACCGTATGTATCAAGGATAGTTACTCATGTGCCAGTGTGCTTTTATAAGGTCTACTCCCAAGGCAAATCTAAACCTAGCCCACCGTGTGTGTGCAGCCCAACCCACAAAAGTAATTTGGAAAATAAGAAATACGTTTATCACTACAAAGTTAAAATTAGACTGTTTCATAAAGTCTTTCGAGTTTGTACATAAGCCCATTTAATGGTTGGGCTGAGAACCCATGAGATAAGGCCCATTAAATCTGTCATCCATGCCTTAAGTCATACAATTCTTCTCAACGGGTGTCGCTCTCACGCTCCGAACGTGTTCCCACTCGCTCTCTCTCAAATTCTCTCTATTTATGATTTAATTATATCGCTCTCACGATCTAGCTCACGAATTCACTTTCGCTCCCGCTTCCTCTTTATGTGACTTAGTACTCGCAGCTGTTTTGTTTCATACAATTGCTGTTTTAGCATTAGAATTGTTGAAAAATTAATTTAATATTAAACAAATTTAGTCATACTTTCAATTTCAGAGCATCAATTGTACACTTTCAAACACAACTAAGTTTTTTAGAAACACAAGAGTAACATGTAAGTATCCAACAATTGAATTTTCATAACCCGGGCGAATAATTTTTTAAACTTTTACAAGACATCTGAAGTATTGTGTAATTTCACTGCTTAAAAATTATTTTCATTGAGTTCGAATATCAAAACAGTGAGTGTAATATACTAAAAGTTAAGGGTGTGTTTGGCAATTACGGTTGTTTTGTGCTTTTTTTTTTACCCGAAGCAAAAGCAATGTTTCCGCTTTAGAGTGTGTTCAATACTATTTCAAAACTTGTTTGGTAACGTAAATTTGCTGTCAAACAGACCCTTAACGTATATTTTTGAAAGCAAAAAACATGAGAACATGTTTGGTAAAAAGTGTTGCAAGTTTGAAAAATTGAATGCCTAGTTAAAAATGTAAATTTAAATTTTTTTTTTTTTTTGAACACTGATTTGCTACAGTGCGGATTGATGCTTTTGATTTTGGCCTCAATTTTAAAATGGCTTCTCTACTATTTAAATGACAGTAAACGTTACCAAACATGTTTCGTACTTTTACTTTATTACAGTACATTATCAAAAGTAAAAAACACGAAGTAAAAACATTAGCCAAACAGCCCCTAAATTTATCTATGCTCTCGACACTCAAATTGTAGTTGACTATAATTAAATTGTGTATCTTATTGCATATGAGAGTGCTTCATTTTTCCAAGTTAATAACCACTAAACAAATCCTTTTGCCAACTCCTACACCATTGAACTTTGTTTGCAAATTTGCCAACAAAAACCACCCAGTTGTATGACCAAAATGACTTAAAATGCAGTAAAGTAGCCACACACGGTAACGTATATGAAAATAATAAAATAATAATAATTAGCACTTCTGAGAAGATATGTTAGTGTAAAAGTAATCAAACTATATATATAATAGCTCACTCTCTCTTTTAATTTTTCCCTTTTCGCCATCATAATTCATAAATGGGAATCTTGGCATAGTTAAGTAGCATTATGTGAGTCGGGGGAGCAATAAATGTAATGCTTGGGTGGACAATGATAAAAGATAGTGTTAGGAATTAGGGCAATGATTTAAGTAGAAAACAACTGTGATCGACAAAAACTAAACTTGGAAAGAAGAGCAAGTATGCACATTTGGGATGCCAACCCACCAAACTTCAAATGTAACCACGTCAGGCTATTATGCATTCATTCAATGTTTGGTCCTTCCTACCTCACCCGTGCCCACAAAAGTTGTATCTGTATAGAAGACTATGTCCAAGCAAGTAACTCTGGGCTGGAACAAACATCTCTCTATGAATCAATCCTCTCTACACTTACGCACCAAATCCAATCAGCTATAAACGCTTGTTCCCTTCACACACCTCTTTCTTCAAAGAAGCAGAGTTCTTGAGTTTGGGTTTACCTCTCTTTTTCTCTTTCTTTAATTAATTAATTAATTAAGAAGAAATTTTTAAAGTTTGGGTTTTTCTCTCTCTATACTCTCTATATATATACATGTATATGTTTATGCTGACCCCATTGCAAAAGGTACGTACCACACTCATCTCCCTTTGTAGCAGACATCAGGTTCCAATGCAATGCATTTGTTTCTGAATTCTGATTTATTTTGATTCTCAATTACTAGTAGTTATTGAACTTCACTGGTCACTTTATTTATTTATTCACTTAATTATATTTCTTTGTGTGATTATTTTAAGTAAAGTCTATATTGTTTCTTTTATTGAATTGTGAGTCAGGTTTTGGAATCAGCTAGGAGAGAGTGGTTTAATGGAAAGCCCAAATGGGAATGTGTTTGAGCTTAGTGTGAAGTTAAAACAGCCAGCTTTGGTTCCTCCTGCAAAGGAGACAGAGAAGGGTCTATACTTCCTCTCAAACCTTGACCAAAACATTGCGGTGATAGTCCGCACTATATATTGCTTCAAGTCAGATGAGAGAGGGAATGAAAAGGCTGGCCAAGTCATCAGAGAAGCCCTGGAAAGGGTTCTTGTTCACTACTATCCCCTCGCGGGGCGGCTAACAGTTAGTACAGAGGGAAAGCTCATTGTGGATTGCACTGGAGAGGGTGCTGTTTTCGTTGAAGCAGAGGCTAACGGTACAATTGAAGAGATTGGGGACATTACAAAACCTGACCCTGTGACTCTTGGGAAGCTGGTTTATGATATCCCTGCTGCAAGCAACATCTTGGACATACCGCCTCTGGTGGCCCAGGTTCATAAATTTCTCCAACACGTATCTATTCTTGCGATATATATGTATTTGACTGTTGTGCTCTATTTGATCAGGTAACTGAATAATTTCAGTATTTGTTGTGCACAACATAAATAATTTCATGCTAGCATGATTCAGAATTATTCCATTATTTGTTGAAACATTGGTACTACATTTGATGATTTTCCCAAATAGACCAGGTTGATATTTTAAAGATCTGACAGTGGTTTCCTTTCCCTACTTTTGACTTGAAAGTACAAAGGGAGGATTTCAATGTGCTATTTCTCGTCTCTTACAGGTGACTAAGTTCAAATGTGGAGGATTTGTTGTTGGATTGTGCATGAACCATTGCATGTTCGATGGACTTGGTGCCATGGAATTTGTGAGCTCATGGGGTGAAACAGCCAGAGGCTTGCCACTCACTGTCCCTCCATTCATTGAAAGAAACATACTCAAAGCTCGGAACCCACCTAAAATAGAGTACCAGCACCAAGAATTCTCCGAGATTATAGACTTTTCTAGCTCCACTGGCCTCTATAAAGATGAAATGCTCTATAGGTCCTTCCATTTCGATTCTGAGAAGCTTGAAAAACTCAAGAAGGCAGCCATGGCAAATGCAGTTCTACACAAGTGCACTACTTTTGAAGCGCTCTCCGCTTTCATGTGGAGAGCTCGAACTCAGGCACTGAAGTTGCTGCCTGATCAACAAACAAAACTCTTATTCGCCGTTGATGGACGATCCAAATTCAACCCTCAACTGCCAATAGGCTACTTTGGCAATGGAATTGTCTTAACACACTCTCTGTGCCAAGCAGGTCAGCTACTAGAGAATCCTTTATCGTATGCGGTTGGCCTAATTCAGGAGGCAATTAAGATGGTTACTGACAGTTACATGAGATCTGCCATAGATTATTTTGAATTAACAAGAGCTAGGCCACCTCTAGCTTCTACCCTTCTAATCACAACTTGGTCCAGACTATCTTTCCACGTTACGGATTTTGGATGGGGAGAGCCTATTCTATCAGGACCGGTGGCTTTGCCGGAGAAGGAAGTGATATTGTTCTTATCTAATGGTAAAAACATAAAAAGCATAAATGTGCTTCTGGGCTTGCCTGCTTCTGCCATGAAAGTATTCCAACAACTGATGCAGATATAGAGATAGAAAAAAAAAAATTATAAGTAACTACATGTTGGTACTCTACAAAAAATTATTGGTACTGCAGTTATTTAAACTGCGATGTGGTTATATATCCTCGATTATGTACTTAAATCAAATTCAAATTATGAATATTCCAAAAATACAATTCTTTTTCAGCTAATGTGCTAAAATAGAATACTCAAGTACTTAAATCACAAACATGCATGGAATAATTTCTTCATTATGCATAAATTGTACACTTTAGATTTTTGACATTTATGGGTGGGGGAGAGAGGAACAATGAAAAAAAAAAAAAAAAACCATGCAATATCCGAATTGTACACATACAGATGATATATAATCATATGAGTTACACATGAAATTAAGAGTGTTATGATTCTAATTTCCACATAAGGCAATCTCTCTCTTGGGTGGTCTGTAAGTTAATGCATTTAGGCTGTAAATGCAGAGATTGGCTTGTTCTGATTTGATAGAGATTTGATCAGAAGTGGTTCTATAACCAGGAACATTGCAGGAGGAAGATGAGCTCCGCATCAAGCTTGCCCTGCACGAAGACACCATTGATTTCTCTTTTGCACATTCAACTCCATCCACTGATGGTATTTCAAGCTTATAAACTCCATATCTGTTTGTAGTTCTGTTCACTGAGAATGATATCTGTTCTGTGGTACTTGGAGTAATTGCTTTGAACATGCAATCTATTCTAACATCTGCCCCTGCACAACAATTACAATATATATAGAGACAATGCAAACGTGAAAATCAGGAGCTTAATATATATATAATGCCTAAATTAGCAAGTGTAGTAGGAAATCAAAAGGTATCTGACAGATAGAACTTAAAAGCAATTATTTATGAGTTTATGAACCTGGTATGAAGTAGCTGTGCCTGGAGAAGGTGTTATTGGAGCAGATGTCACAGTAGACAACCCCCATCACAGTGATTTGAGGGTTAACATTTGCTGGTTCAACTTGGAGAGGTAGTGTCCAAACACCTAAAAAGAATGAGAGTAGGAGGATAAATGTTGTTGAATCCATAGTTGCAGCCATTTTTGTTGGATACAAGAAAGATACTTCTTCATAAGCTACTGTGGGAATAGCTCAGATATAATACTTAATTTATATGTAGTAGTAATTGGAAAATTGTGTATGTGGTGTGGATAACTAGCTAGTGTAGTGCGAGATGGTGGAGCAGGAGAACCAACTGTAAGCAAAGAGTTGAGGAACTTTTTCCTTTCCATAACAAACAAAGACATGTGAATGTCATTTGGCGGATTTCTGAGTTGATGATGACTAGGAGTGAGAGAGAGAGACAGAGAGGATTCTCTTGGCACAATGCATGTGAAAGGGAAGTCTTAATAGCTTAGTTAGGAACTACAAAGGAACAAGGGAATTTAATGTTTCCCATCCTGCTCAAATTCTGTTTTTTTCTTTTTTTTTTAAAAAAAAAAAAGGTTCATGAGGGAGCTTTTACAATTATGGCAAGGTGGCCCTAGCCATATAATGACATTAGAGAAGAAGCCCATATCACTATTCAATAACTTTGTACTTGTATGAACATGCATTTAACATATTGATGGGTAAATCAATTTAAGCCATTTATTATGTGTACTCGTTGCAATTGAACGATAGATTGAACCAAAAAAAAAAAAATCATAGCATTTCTCATAATTTACTAACGGAATTTGACACTCCTCCGTGCTTATTTATGTGAATGGGACAATAGGTCCCATTACATGATATCACTATGACATCATGTAGTGGGACTTACTCCATTCACATACTCCTTTTGTCCCATATTAGATATCCATGTTTAGAAATTGAATTTTTTTAAGGGAAAATGCAATTAATGCATTGTCCTCTTTTAAATTTACCAATTTGTCCTTTTTAGTTTAGATAGGTATAGTTATCAAGTTTGAAATTTTTTGAAAATATAAAGGACAATGATGGAAAGATATTTGCTTTGACGTTTAAAAGTGGATAATTAATTTGGGACATAAAAAATGAAATAATGGACCACTAATATAAGAGAGGTAGTAATTTGAATTGGATCACTGCCGAATCCAAGGACCTTAAACCATTAAAATGCCCGATAAATCAAAATTGAGTTCCCGGTATGCATGATGTTAACACGGTGAGAGCTGCACATAGAGAATGTAAGTAAAATGTAGTATTTTTCTTATCTTCGTCCCATCTGTGTGTGTCCCATGGGCATGTTATCAAGTAAGCAGGTAGTTGAGGCTCCAGAAGCAAACTACGGGAGTGGATAGCGAAAGCTCAGTTGTTGGATGAAAATTGAAAGGCACGAGTGCAACCAAAGGAAGTGGAAATTATGTTGAGCGTTGTGTATGGCCTTTAGGAAAAGCTGAGGACCACAAGTCCATTAGCTACAGTCAATGGGCCTCTTGGTTTTAATCAGTGAAGCCCATCATGAATATATTGGGGTACAAGTCAAGATGGCTTAAGCAGGTTGATGAATTAGTCCAAGTTCCAACTCAAAAGTAAGAAACTTCAGCGAAGCCCATCATGAATATATTGGGGTACAAGTCAGATGGCTTAAGCAGGTTGATGAATTAGCCCAAGTTCCAACTCAAAAGTAAGAAACTTCAAACTAGAGCCCAACTTAATCTTACTTACAACACAAAGTTGAAAATAGACTAGTCCAGAAAGAAAAAGAAAAAAAGTTGAAACAAAAAGAACTATTAATAAACACTTGTCATGATTAATTAGTAAGAAAAAAGAAATAAAAACAAATTTCCAATTTAATAAAAAAATATAGTATATGATATTAAGTTAGAATTTTAGATCAACTTCATCAATTCAAATTGTTCATGTTGCATGAGAACCGTTTGAGTCACCCAAAATACAGGCTGTTCGATCATTGGAGCATTCTTAATTGATTTTCAATTCAAAGCAGTGTGGTCAACTTACAGAAAAGTGGTATTGCAAAAGTAATGGTTTGACCTGGCCAAACAAGTAGAGCGAGTCCCATAATATTAATATGGTACAAGTATATATATATATATATATATATATATATTCATGTGAAGTGTAACACCACATGAAATAGCTTCCACCCTTTACATTTGGCCATAGTTCCTTAGGCCAGCGGAATCTGTCATATACCCAGCAGATTGCAACATTGCATAAAACAAGCTAGGGCTCTCTATTTTGATCAAAACCCAGTTAGAATAACAATTTAACGATTGGCATTTATATTTAATCTTCTTCAACACTTTTTCCAACTTTTAGCTTTAATTCTTCACATATTTGTCGCGAAGAAGGAAATTAAATCTTAATCTAATAATAACAAGTTGGGAGTATTTGCTTGGAATAACATCTCTTTCTTAGTAACTCTATAAAAATAAATCAAATATCATGGTTCATTCAACATTAATTCATGAATTGGCCAAAATTAATGACAAATCAGTATATATATAAATTTGATGCTAATTAATTGACAAACTAGCTAGGAAACTGATCGAACCATAGTAATAACTCAGCTGCTTTTATTATTCACATTTTGATAACTTATTACTATGATTAATTTTGACTTTCATAGTCTCCATTCTAAAACAATATTGCATAAATTCAAAATATCTAAATCATGGTACAAATAACAAAACCAAAAACTGATGAATCCAAAGGGTATGAGTTTTGTTGCTTACAGATATTACAAAAGAGAAAAGGACCAAAACACTTTACTTTCGGTAACAACAAAATAATTAATTTAACCTATTCTCCTTCTACAATGCTATTTTAAATAAATATATAATCATTAAACAAGAAAATATTAGTGGGGTTAGGGAATTATTTAATCCAAAAATTAGAAGTTGGTGGAAATTAGTCGTTAGAGTGAGTGATGCTATATAGTGAAAAGGAAATATAAATATACAAGTATAACGTGGAGAGATGTAGAGAGAGAGATGCCGACTAATGGGAAAAGAATGGAGTTGCGGACAAAGCGCTTCGTGCCTTTGGCAAATCCAAGGCGTAGGCGGCGCCACCGACGCCATATCCGACGACTTCGCCAATGTCCACCTTTTTGTTCCTTTCTTCCCCTATTTCTTCTTCAATCACTCTTTCCTCTTTCCCTCTCTTTTGCCCATTCCTTTTTCCTCAAACTACCTATTGCCACGATGCCCCTCTTATATATGAAATCACCCATTTTATTTTTATTTTTATTTTCACTTTAGGCTTTTAGCTTACAGTGTAGCCCTTCCCTATTTAATCGGGATTTATCAAAGCCCTTTATACACGTCAAATGTTTTTTTTTTTTTTTTTTATGAAAGGTAAATATTGAATGTATAAATAAAATAATATGCACACCTCAAATGCTGTGTTACTATCTATCTGAGAAAAATATATACATGCAAATTGTATACATTGACTATATAAATTAAACTTCTTTATGAATGCATGCGTGAGATATATATTCACTTTTATATCCATCAATTTATATTTTCATTTTATCCCTATGATTATTAGGTCAATATAGCTATATTGAGTGTTAGATCGATGTCGTAAAAGAAATAATAACTACTCATTTCAATAACTACTCATTCATGTAGCAGAAATGAGAATACTAGAATGAATGATATGAGTAACTAGAACTAATAGAATTAATAATGAACAAATGAGGAATAAATTAGGCTTAATGCATCAGACCAAAAATTATCAGTAATAATTTTCATTTCTTATCTTCCAAAAAAATAAAAAATATATCAGTAATTAAAAATAATTTTTAAAAATATAAATTGTAAGAGAAATGGTTTATATATATAATAGGAAAGAATTTATGTGACCAATCTTATTTATAACACGAATGATGAGATGATAACGATGATGATGATTCTTCTTTTACTTGACTTCCCGATTAAGAAAAAAAAATTTGAAACGACCATGTAGATGCAAATCTATAAAAGAGTAGATCTACAATGCAAATATAACAAATTTTGCAGAATATTTAGGCCTTTAATGTCCTTTCACCACATTTCAGAATATTTTTCTCTGAGTACTTGTCGCTCCCCCTTCGACCAATCACAGGTCCCAGATTCACAGGCAATGCTAGCTATTATTTAAGTAGTACTGTTGTAGTACATGATTTTATAAAACAATAAGTGGGGTCCATTGTTTGAACAAGAATTATTTGAAATTTCTTGTTCTCAGCTGGGCCGGCCCATGAAAGTGGGACCCAACCAAGTGAGTGAATATGTCTTTTAGCACAGGCAAAGGCCTTTCCGAAGCATGGTAGAAACAGTTAAAACACGTAAAACCAATTGAGGGCTTCTAGGAAACAACTAAACTTAGTGCTAAAGGTGATAAAAAGGGGGTGGAAATGGAATTCATCACTAACCTCCAAACACATGAAAATAGACGTGTGGTTTGTCTCCGGACTAGGAATGACAACAAGGGCGAGTTTGAGCGGGTATATCCTCTCCCGCTCCCGCAACTGTTTAAAAATTTCGTCCCCGTCCCTACCCAAAACTGCAAAAATGAAGGAACTTTTCACTTCATCCCCGTAACCGTTTAATATTTTTACTCCCGAGGGTACCCACTCCATCCCATTTAAGACCATAATTTATTTATTGTTGAAATAGATTTGTTCTTTTTTTTTTTCCCTCATCTTCAATTCTTCACCATTGCAACTTTCTTTTCAATCAAATTCATATGTTACTTTAATATTACTATATAGGGTACTTAATATATAGTGATAAATATATATACTATTAAAATAAAAGTATTTAAATAATTTGCCTATCTAAACGGGACGGGGCGGTGCGGGGTGACCTCCCCCCGCCCCCACACCAAACCCGCTCGGTTTTTTATTATATGAAACTATCTCCGCCCATATAAGCATAACGGTCCCCCAAAATTGTCAAAAACGGAACCAGACGGTGCGAATAATCGCGGAGCGGGTCAAATTGCCATCCCTACTCCAGACACCATTTTGATTGCAAGACAAAGTAGGTGGGCAAAATGACAAAATCTATTGGAATACAAAAAGGGTATACAAACACAAGTCCTAGCTTTTTCTTTATACCATACCAACTATAGAAACACTTGTACGTAGTATTAACGTGGAGAGCTAATAGCTTGAAACTATAGTACGTACCACTCTTTCATCGTTACCCTAATTAAGATGATTAATTCTCTTTCTGTTAGCATGGGGAATCTAAAGAGAGAGAACTCATACACCAAACTTCAACCAACTTCTCCCAATGAGTCGTCGTTATCGGAATCTAAGAAGACATCTTCCGACCTTGAACACAACAGCTTAACTCCATCAAGCCTGACCCTCCCAACAATCAAATTTGAAGTTGACGGAGATGGGGAAGTCCAGTCACCGGATAATTCATTATGGGAATCTCTTTTCTCCGATCACTTCGACACTGACTTCATGATATTATCACCGGTGAGGAACCTACCAGCTTCACCGCAAGCTTCAAATTACAATTACAGCTATGTTCAGTCAATGCATGGACAAAGCCCCATGGGATGCTCTCCTCCTCGCACTTCATCACAACTACTGGGAGCTTATAGCTCTATGCATCATGGTACTAAAGAGAAGGGAATGAGCCCACTCCAAAAGGTTTTCAACTCCCCAAACAGTCACTATATGCAGCTGGAGAGCCTTTCGCTGCCGGCTCTTGATAGTTTCTTGGATGATTATCAGAGAGATGAAGATGATGATGTCATACCATGCTCCTCATTGACCACTTCGGATACTGTTGGAAACTTATCATCAGACCATTTTGATGATACACTGATACCGGTTAATCCAGAGTTGTTGGAGTGCTTCACCACGCAACCAAATTCTTCACGGTTTTGTACATCGGGAAATGAAACATCGGTCTCTACTAGAAGCTCACAGTTGGAACAAGAGAGTGACATTTATAAGATGAGTTCAAATATTGCTACTGCACCGTTATCACAGCAACTGCAACGAGAACGACAGCAGGAGAAGCAACAACAAAAACATCGAGGAGGACGACCACCCCCACCACCACCACCACAACAGCAGCCACCAGAGAATATCAACCATAGCGTCATGGTACCTCTCTCTGTTGGACCCGAGCAGATAAAATACTCTTTCTTTCCCCTTGATCTGTCTCTCAACATATATATATATCTCCATTTTAATTAATCTAACTTGTTTAATTGATTTGTTTCTACAGGACCAAGATAGTGGACTTCAGTTGGTGCACCTCCTTCTTGCTTGTGCTGAGGCAGTTGCCAAAGAGGACTACATGTTAGCTCGGAGATACCTCCACCACCTCAATCGAGTGGTCTCACCGCTGGGCGACTCCATGCAGCGCGTGGCCTCTTGCTTCACCGAAGCCTTAAGCGCGAGGCTTGCTGCCACGCTAACGGCCAAACCTAGCACCTCCAACTTAAAGCCCTTTACTCCTTTCGCTTCAAACTCACTAGAAATCCTCAAGATTTACCAAATTGTATACCAAGCTTGCCCATATATCAAATTCGCTCACTTCACAGCCAATCAAGCAATCTTTGAGGCATTTGAAGCCGAAGAGCGTGTTCATGTCATTGATCTAGACATCCTTCAAGGATACCAGTGGCCTGCCTTCATGCAAGCCCTAGCCGCTCGACCGGGTGGAGCTCCATTTCTCCGATTAACCGGAATTGGCGAGTCACAAGAGTGGGTGAGGGAGACAGGCCGGTGTTTAACTGAGCTAGCCCACTCTCTCCGTGTCCCATTTGAATTTCACCCGGTGGGAGAGGAACTGGAAGACCTAAAACCACACATGTTCAATAGAAGGGTTGGTGAGGCCCTAGCAGTGAATGGCATAAACTGTCTCTACCGTGTCACCAGCAACTGTCTGGGTAACCTATTAGCAATGATCCGAGACCAAGCACCAAATATTGTAACCATTGTGGAACAAGAAGCAAGCCATAATGGACCCTACTTCTTGGGACGGTTCCTGGAGGCATTGCACTATTACTCCGCCATGTTTGACTCAATGGACGCCACCTTTCCACCAGACTCGGCACAGAGGGCGAAGGTAGAGCAGTACATATTCGCGCCAGAAATTAGAAATATTGTGGCATGTGAGGGGCAAGATAGGGTAGTGAGGCATGAGAGGTTGGAGAAGTGGAGGAAGGTGATGGAAAGTAAAGGGTTCGAGGGGGTGGCACTGAGTGCAAACGCGGTGACTCAGTCGAAAATATTGTTGAGTTTGTATTCATGTGATGGTTATAGGTTGACAGAGGACGATGGTTGTTTGCTCTTAGGGTGGCAAGATAGAGCTCTCCTGGCTGCTTCTGCATGGCGATGCTGATATCGTTTCTTACTTGTACGTGCTTCTTTCTTCTTCTTCTTCTTTTTTTATTTTTTTATTTTCGGCTTTTTTTTTGTTTATCATAATCATGATATTGCTTCGTTCTCAGCAAATCCATGCAAAAAGTAAAGGAAGGACATGATCGATGGAAGGGGATTAATAAAGAATTTCATTTCGTATCTTAGCAGAAAGTGACCTTAGAACTAATTAATTTACGTGTATGATGATGTTTGTATTAAATTATGAGGGAAAATCTAAATGCTTTAATGCACAGAGGATGAAGCATGCCTGAATTCCGTCCAAACGTGTCGTAACTATTGGACTATAGCCTTGTAGATAGTTATGGTCAGAATTATCGTCATCCATGTAGACAAAGGTCGGGTTAGGTTGCGAGTTGCAACTCAACCCCAATTAAATTCTAAAATAACGTATTTGTATCAAGGAAGAAAATAATACGAGTATAATAAAGAAGTTTTGAAAATGACATGACCCTGTACATATCCATAAGGACATAACTCTCAAAATTTATGAATTTCTTGATTTTTTATTTTTTCAATTTATTCGTATTTTACCTTACAAGCACAAAATAATAATAATAATAATAAAAATATGGTGATCGAACCTCCCAATATATATATATATATATATATATATATATATATATATATATATATTTCCCTGAGTACATTTTTGGCACACTTGTGCTTGGTAACGGAAAGAGATACAGAAAGATCACCCGACAACTAATCGGAGTATGTATGTGTAAATCTATAGCAATGAAAATAACCCCAATTATTTTATATGGCACAAAGTGTTGGACTAAAAAAACCTAAGCATTCTTTTAACGGAAATGAGGATGTAAGACAAATAAAAGGATTCACTAGAAAAGATAGGGTTATAAACCAAAATGTGAAACAAATATTAGTGATAAGATTAGATAGAAATACCTAGGTGATATAGACACATATATGATAGACTGGTGAGGCGAGGGAGGTTAATTTTCATAGGGAGTAGAACTTGGATGAAATCATTAGAAATAATTTTAAAATGTAAAACATCATATGAGAAATGGCTTGTAATATAATAGAATAGAAAAAGAGAATTATATAGGATTAAGGCTATAGAATAATGATGAAGAAGACTAATTAAATAAATAAAAGTACAAGAAGAAACATTGCATGCCACATGTCAGAAAGTAGGAACTGTAGACGTGTTTTGGTAAGATTCAAGAAATAATTGACCTCATTCCAATCCTCAGCCCATCCTTAACCTTATCACAGCTGGGTCATTTATTCCAGGCCCAACCTCGAATCAATCAATAACTCTCACCGTGAGGTTGGTTTTCCTCCCTTTTCCAAGTCAAAACTCATTTTATCTTCCATCCATCCTGCTCCTACACTAATAACGTTACATTTTTGTACATGCATCACAAATAAAACAAGAGGCCTCACTATAATCTCACGATTCTCTATTATTAGGGAAGATTTTCGTTTGCATATACTACCCTTTCTGGTTATGATATGAAGATGAAGAACCTGGTGTCGCAATGATCTCCATTCCTCCTTAAATCGCAATGCAAGTGAGCACACGTGCACAGAGAGAGAGACCCACTATTACCTACTGATGTTTACATGCAGGTGGAGATACGATCATACTAAGAGGAGGGAATACATTATACATGGAAATGATGTCTTAATCACCATTATCATATTCACAACCAACATTCTCAAGCTATATTGATTTTCTTTTACATGATACAATAAAACAGATCCTACAAGATGTTCAGCTTTGCACCACGGTAACACCACCCACATGCCACATAATGCTGATATGAACTAAAATGTAAACGCCCTTTGGAGGTTTATCAACACCATAAGCCGTGTATTGATTGATATATAGAAATGCTGCAGCTAGAAATGTACATCAAACACCAAATTTTATAAAACCCACATACATCATAACCAACATACAGTGCTGCACAGGAATGCGCTCCAACAAACACGAAACAATGAGGTATGATACTGTTTACATATTATTGTCTTTTCCAACTACGCAATTCCACAGCCAAGTTGATCCCAAGAACCCCACAACATTAAATCTGACTCAACTCTCATAATATTGAACAAGCACAGATGTTTTTCCTTGGAGCCTCATCAACCTTCTTTTCTGTTCAAACAAGCATATATCATTACTTTAAGCAACTATATAAGTAAAAGGAAACAGCCTAAACTGTAATGTCATCACAAATTGTGATTTGCATTGACACGTCAATTCTCATTCAATTTGCAGTTTGGTCAAAAATGGAATTCACTTGGTACAACCATAATCCTCACTCAATCCTAAGGACTCCACTAACCTTGTTTGGTGGTAGTCATAGTAACCCAAACCAGGTGCATGCGATATCCGATGTATATTTGTGCCTATGCACGATGCCAAAGGAGAGAGACTGGAGGCATACCTAATTTTTGACATTACTTTGCGAAAAATGACTACCATTAGATTTGTAACCCAAGACCTCACACTTGTCAGTCCGAACTCTTATCGTTGAACAAGGTTAAACCATTTACAGATAGAAGTTTTAAATTGCATTAATGCCTCAATATGGTATAAATTAGATTTAAGTCAGATATTAGAAGTTTTAATTTGCATTAATGCTACAATATGGTATAAATTAGATTTTTTTTTTTTTTTCATAATTGGTACTCACACACACATGCCTTTACTAAGACTTGAACCCTTTACCACCCTTTGAGTAGTAGGGGTCTGATACCGCTAGGCCACTGACCCGTTGGTGAAACTATACCCTCAATTGATGAAACTACAAATTAGATTTAAGTCAATAAATTTATGTTGATGAAACTATACCCTCAGTTGCTTGCTCAAAGTATCTATCCACAACCCCCTGAGCTTAGTCGAAACCACGCTTACATCACTTGTACATTAAAAATTACACCTACGTTCCTTGAGGTTGTTTCTATTGTAACAAATTCTCCTTCCCTCTAACGATCAGAGATGTTATTTGCGGAGGCAAAACTTTTGAAATTTCTTGTTTACCCTAAAGCACAAAGACATAATTACCCTCATTAAGCGATAGAAAATTACTTAAATGCACCCACTTTAAGAAACTAAAATTGACAAAATCACACAACCCTTGCGTTGTATTGCCCACACATGTAGATACTGTGTGGATAGTTACCATGTCTACAACTTGTCAAACCTGGGATTACCCCCTCAAAACCACAAACCCTTTCTCTCACTCTCCTATTCTCTCTCTCTTTAAACTCTAGGCCTCTTCAGCCAAGACACACGAGAAAGTATCACCTTTTCTTCTCTTTCTAATTGCAAAGCCAGGACTAATTTGCCATATGGGACGTACCTAGTTTTGGGTGCAGCTACGGTTTTGCCATGGTCTGTACAATTGGTTGTGGTAACTGTGTATCAAGACAAATATTGAAGGAGAGGAGGGGAGAGACCACTTAGAGAGGGGTTTTAGTGTTGGGAGATGGTGTTGGGCATGGCTGTGGTTGTCGTATGGTGTGTACAATCAATCGTGGTTATTGTGTATCAAGACAATTATTGAAGAGCAAGTGAGAGACTGATTAGATAGAGAGTGGTTTTAGTGTGTACAAATGGTTCATATATTCTACACTTGTACGTCCTATTTAGACCATGTGACATATGACTATGCATACAACACTACTATCATACTTTGGAAAAATCAAATTTGGAATGGAGTTTATTAAATAAAACAAAAGGCTAAGTTTGGGATGAAGGTATCAATTAATTTATTTGAAAATAATATCTTGGTAATGACAAATGTGTGTGTATACAAATTTGTGTATGTTGCTTTATACTTGTCCAATTTTTAGTTAAAACATTGTCTTTCACCGTAGGGTATAAAAGATCTTTTAACTAACACGACTTTTCAACAAAATCACTTCATATTTCATAATGAAGGAAGAATTGTCAATTCATTCACTGCATTAAAATTATGAATCAACAGTATCAAAGGACGTGCAAGTGTAATTTTTCAATATATGAATATAGTAAGGATTGGTATATCATATACACTACTACTCTCTTACCTTTTTATTAAGATTATACTTTTGTCCTATATAAAAAATTTGACATCACGCGATTAACTTGTGGTAACCATATGTATAATGCCTATCATATATACTCCATTACTCTCTTATTTTATGTTAAAGAATGAATACAAAGTGATATGTTTGATATAAAGATCATATTCGATTGATTACTTTGTTTAATATTATCAGATACTTGACAGAATTCATGCTACTTATGTTAAATGCATCTAGTGCTTGATTTTAAGTAAGGGATATTTATGATAATATAATACATGTTTAAGATTATACATTATTGTAACTTTTATTATTGCACATTTGCAATGGTATAAGATTTAACTGAATATATATGCATATTGAAAGGATCTATGTGCATTGATTTACCCATTTTATCCTCTTAGTTGATGAGACAAATAATCCACTTTTAGAAAATTATTGACTATTTTATATTAAATATTTCAAATTGTCTCAATTTTATTGAATTAATATGACATTTAAAGGATATAAGCATATTGATTTAACTTTGCATTGCATTAATATGCTGAAAAATTATTTCATTTTGATTCTGGTTAATTTTTTTGTTACCTATTTACAATTTTTCAATAATAACTATATTAAAAATGCAAGTATATCACAAACGCGCCTTATTTCAATCAGGCTCCCATCTTTCATTACGTCTTACACTTGATGTGGAGAGTGGAGACCTTGTGGCGGGTGTGTGTAAGCGTGTGCAAGTGGCACCAGTAGGCTACCACACTAGGCGAGCTACGGGTGAACAATCCCACATCGTCTGGGTGTGGATGAGGCAAGTGTTATATGTAAATTTAACTTCCTTCTATGATGCAACGCGTTTTAAAGCCATGATGGCCATGAACCCACCAGAACTCCGGAGTTAAGCATACTTAACCTGCAGTAGTACCAGGATGGGTGGCCCCCTGGGAAGTCTCTGGTCAGAGAGAGTCAAAAGCGGACAATAGTATGTCTGGATAGGGTAAGGGTTGTTACAAATGGTATCATAACCTAACCTAGCCGAAAGTGTGGCCAACGAGGCCGTTGGACCCCCCCAAAGGTGGCTGATTGTAGAGACCTTGTGGGCGGGTGTGTGTGAGCGTGTACGGGTGGCACCAGTGGGCTACTACACTGAGCGAGCTACAGGTGCACAATCCCACATCGCCTGAGTATGGATGGGGGCAAGTGCTATATGTAGATTCAACACCCTTCTATGACACAACGCGTTTTAAACCCGTAATGGCCATAAACTCACTAGAACTCCGGAGTTAAGCGTGCTTAACCTGGAATAGTACCAAGATGGGTGAATCCTGGGAAGTCTCTAGTCCGGGAGAGCCAAATGCGGACAATATTGGATTGTTACACTTGGGCTCTAGGAGACTTTCCCACCTTAGTAAGCCTTGAGCCTTTGAAAAGTGAAAACTGTGTGTTCAAGATTGTAACTCCTTAATTGTGCAAGGAAGGAGTTAGAAAAATCTTGCATTATGTACAATTAAACAGTAAATGTGGATCATATTGCTTATTAATAGCCTGATTCTCGGCAAGTTGATATTTTATCCTTAAAAGCATATAGTGCATATACAAGCATCAAGTCCTTCACAACAGAAAACCTAGAATATGTGAAGGCAAATATATATATATATTGAAGACTTCAAAGTGAGAGGAAAAGTACCTGTTTTCGCTTTCGCTAAAGATGGCTGCACGACAACATGCATGGTGATGACCCCTTTTGGAAGCTCACCGAAAGGTATTCTACACTGGCCAACAGTCTTGTTGTTTTCCAAAATTTTCCCAGCACTTATCAACTTGACATCATTCGCTGCCTTGGGCACAATTTTTTTATCTAAGACAAACCAGCATATTTATATCCAATGTAAAAAGAGAATCACAATAATGACCGAGTAATATGGAGGATAAGAAGAAGATACATTTAAAAAAAAAAAAAAAAGGGAAGAAGATGCAAAATCATATGGGTCCAGAATGACTTGAATCAAAATCATTTGATGCAGAGAGCTGAAATTAAGTATTAAGATGATGCAGCAGGCAAGAAATGGAATTCCAACATCCCTTGCAAGGTGTGATTAAAATATCTGATAAAATAAAAGAGTAACACTTGCATAGATATACATGGATAGCTGGAGAAGAAGAGAGAGAGAGAACCCAAATAAAATTTCAAGGCATAACAGAAATAACTGAATATGATTGCAAGATACAATATAACACCTTCTCAACTCATCTAATCATAATCTCACTATTGAGAACAAGAGAAATGATTTAAATGCTTCACTTTTAGCAGTCTAAAGGCATTTGACAGGAGGTGATTGTCACAAGCAGGGTTAGCTGAAAAAACCAAATGTGCCATGCTTTTAGGTTGCTATCCTACCAATATTTGAGTCTCCAATTATATTCTTAAAGTAACCACTAAACAAGGTTTCACTTTATAGCTAATTGTGACGAAATAGTATGTTTAAACAGTTCAAACCTACTACCCAGTTGGAAGGCATGGCTTATATAAATCTAAATATACTGCTCTCTTGGGTTTTAACTCATCAAGTCCCTTGAAATGGTAATAAAGGCAAGAAAGAATCTCAACTTCATTAATTTGTTCAGAGAATTACTTGATAAATGAACTGTAGGAACTAACAAGACATTATTTGAGTATTAATTTGTTCAGAGAATTACTTAATAAAGGAACTGTAGGAACTAACAATACATTATTTGAGTAGAAACTTGACATCCAACCCACCCAAAATATGATCACTCCTGTCTTTATAAGGCTCACATATATCAAGGATTTACAAACTATAAATTGATTGTAACATTGAGGGCTATGAAGAGGGACCCAAAATATGATCACTCCTGTCTTTATAAGGCTCACATATATCAAGGATTTACAAACTATAAATTGATTGTAACATTGAGGGCTATGAAGAGGGACTCCACTGAACCGTGACTCAACATGTGTGTGTGTGTGTGTGTAAAGCAAAAGAGTTGTCAAAGCCAAGCACTCCTTACATTAACTTAATAAATATATTATAGTACATAAAGGAGTAACAACAAGAATCATATATTAAGGATATCTAATGTGAGGTTGAAACCATATACTATTTATCTATGAATGGGCATGTATGTATCTCTATTTGTACCAAGGTCCAGTTATCATATTTTCTTTGACTGAGACTAGGGAAAGAAGCCTCACACATAATGCTTAATGCTCAAAGGAGAAGGGAAGAAGTAATAAGGAATTTCTGATCATGCTAAGAAATTCTGTCTTGTTTGAATATCACCATTTTGGTTGAATCAGTACATGGATGGAATTATGACAACATCAGATTAAGTTGTAAATAGAACTTTTACCAAATGCATTATGGTTTCTTAAGGTTCACAAGAATTTTTAGGCATTTTGAGGATTATATAGTTGGAAAACTAGAATAGAGATTTTGAATGGAAAGAATGTCAGCTGAGATACCAGGTAGAATTTATTTTTCCTTTGCATACATTTGGATCCCATTTATTAAGGAATTTGAAGCCACACCATTGAAGACACTATTTGAGAATAGACCGTAACTTTCAAGTTCTGAACATAGGATTGCTTTCGGAAGCCTTTGGAACTTGGAAGGGTTGTCTCTAGACTCAAACTTGACATTGACAAATGCTCTATCAGCACATATGGTCAGCTTAGGAGGTAAATATCATGGACAAAATCTGATTTTTGAATACCCCTAGCTTATAAATACCAGCTATGCAACACAAGCTTTTGGCTCTTCTAGAAAGGCTTTTGTGGTGGGAATTATCATGCTTTTCTAGTGGTCAATTATTTGGTATCATGGGGTGGATAGATCTGAAAATTTGGGTATCTGGTTCCATGTTATCTTTTAAGTAGAATGTAGGCTTAATTCAATTTTGCATGCATACAGCTTCATTGGGTGGCTACAGCTACCAATGAAGAGGCTAAACAATTCTGCATGCATACAGTTTCATTGGGTGCCTACAACTACCAATGAAGAGGCTAACAACTCCCAAGCAAAAAGAGAAGCTATCATACTGGCAATGTTACAGTATACCATGAGTTAGAGAAGCCAACTTAAGGGGCTCCCACCCTTCTTTCACGTTTTCAGACTCCCTTTTTCCTGCACTAGCATTGTCTATTTCCAAACTCCAAGCAAATCAAATGTTTCAACAAGTTAAAATGTGCTTTTATCAAATTGAATATCATTATTAAAAAGAAAAAGAGAAACCGCATGATGGCATTGTGACTTAATACAAGATATCACCCTAAATTGAGCTGACTAAGAATATAAGAGTTGGTAGGTGACCCAAGTAGCTGGTATAAGGTTTAGATTTTGAATTACTCTGTAGTTTTTACCTTGTATCAATCTTGCGTGTGTACTCTATGAAAACCCTAAAAAGTCATTTCCTACATCTATGATCCATTTGGTACAAAGGAAGAAAGGGAGGAGGAAAGAGCCGCAGAACAGGGGGGTTGGACAGATGACGTTACTATAATTTGGTAGGAATGAAATGGGAAGGAAAACAAACATGGGAGGGTCTGATTAGACAAAGTGTTACATGGCATGGAACAATTCTACAATTTAATTCTTAGTTGCACTTGATATATATTACATGCACAGTAGGAACCCCCACTAGTCTAAATCCATAGAGAAGTATAACATTATAATAATAAGAGGAATATACCATTGATAAAATTGAAATTGAAAAATAAAATAAGCTTTTTAGGACTCGTTGTGTTATACTATAATTCATTACAAGTTCACAAGAGTTATTAACAGCCCATTTGAGGAAAGGAAGAAAGGAGAAGAGAAAGGATGAGAGGAGGGAGTGACTTCCCCCTGAGCCCACCAAATCCTTCCTGCCCAAAAAGTGGGTAGTAAGGATGAGGATAAGGCTCTACTTTTTAAACATTCATGCCCGTCAAACAACACCATTTTCTAATATATAAGGACAGAATGGTAAAATCAAATAACACCTCTTTCTTTCCGATTCAACCAAACAAAAAGGGGGAAAGGCATCTACATAAAACCATCTCCCATGAAGATACCTTTTCCATCCCTCGTACCACCACCTCCTTCAAATTTTCCATCAATCACAGAATACAGAGCTTTAAATTAACAAATGAATGAGCAAACATATTTCAAACCTAAAATGAAAGGCAAAGGTGCCCTTAGACACACACATAAATAAATAAATATATATATATATATATATATATATAGAGAGAGAGAGAGAGATAGACGAGTCTAATTTTAACCAAGATATCACAAGAACCAACCAGCTGTTTCATCTTTTAGATGAAGCATATATACCCGACTCATCACAATCAGTAGTGCCAATTACTGAGATGCGTGTGAGCTTATGTTCTCATGCATGTTTCAATATCAAAGGTATACACACAGAACACAAGATCACGACTTAATGTAACACATGAAAATTGGTGATTACCACTAATGATTGTGCAATAGCAAAGTAGCAATATGATGAAAATGCAAGTGATGCCCACTATGTGATCATAATTTGGTAACTATGTTACAAGTACTCAATTGTGAGGTGCAGCAGCTTGTAAGGTCTTAACTCTGCCTGCCCTGACATTATTTGAATATGCAATAGCAAAGCAATTAAAAATGAAAGTGGCCCAACATGTGATCAGAAAATTGATAACTATGTTACAACTACTCAAATACACTAAAGTGCAGCCGTATGTAAAGTGCTAACCTTGCCCGCCCTAGTATCATAAAATACATTAATACAAGAAATTTGCAACATCCAATTGTTTTTGTTCTACACCCTAATATAAATGCATTGTCAATGTAACGTGGCATGTTCTACAAAGTCGCTTACTTTGGAACTTCCATACATTAAAAAAATATATAATGAATAAAGCATTCAACAAACTTGATTGTTAAAAATCCAATCCCCTTTCCGTGCTTGTTGGTCACGTTCATTGAGTGTGTATATGACAACAAATGTGCCTCGCAATTTCCATAGCATGGTAGGTCATATCAAACACACACTTAATAACTGTTAAAATATCCATGTAATATCAATAGATAAGGATTGAACAGTGATGAGTGACCAATCTTAAACTGAAAGTATCAACAAAAGTGTGTGACAATACTCGTGTGAGACGGTTAATTATATTTCTACAATACTTCTCTAAACAAAATAATCAAATCATAAATGATGCAACCAATACAAATTTTCTGCAGACAGCAAGATTTGCTGAGAGAATGTCCAGTTGAACATGTGTTTGTACAAAATTTGAATAAATTCAGTGTTCATGCGGGAAACCCGTAGAGAAGAAGATAGCCACCCACAAGCACACCACCAAAAGCTTTTAACAGGTTACAGTATTTTTAAGAAGAACCATAAGTTCTTGCAATCAAGGTATTTAAAAAAAAGGGCAAGAGCGGTTGCTTTAAAAAAAAAAAAAAAAAAAAAAATGGAACATTTTACTGAGCCATATTTGACATTTTGGTAAGGGATATTACTAGTGAAGCAATTTGGTTTACAAACTCTTGGATTACTGTCAAACCATGTAACATGAAACTCATCTGAGTCTCAAGCTGTTCTCTTTTCACTTAAAGAACAAAACCCGCTTATACTTCAAAATAGTGGTTTCAGGAGCTGTGAGCAAGAACTTCAGAACCGAATTCAAACAAATGATAATTCACCAAATATTATTCTTAATTATATCAATTGGCCTAAACAAATGTGTGACATATCAACATTAGAAGAACAATTTCAATTTGAACATATATATGCGCAGGACACGTATCGCCGACTACAGAGCAAGACAAAGAACTTCTAACCTTTGGGCCACTCAGCGACGATTCTCTCCTTGAGCATCGCTACAGTTGAAGCCGGAGAGTAACGGAACGGACCGATGTCGGATCCATCGTATAATCGGAACTTAAGCTCCACCAAATCCTCGTCCGGCATTTGCAACCTCGGGCTTAGTTATCCAAACCGTCCGATCAACCTAACACACAGTTTACACCACAACTATCACCAACCGAAGGCCTTTCTATTCAACACCTAAACAACATCAAGAATTATATAATATATTACAGCTCAAATATCAAAACAATTATAAGATTTAAACGTGAATTGAAGAAATAATTTATGTACCTCTGATTTTAAAAAGCGAGGTTTATAAAGATTCGCAAGCCTTTATAGGGTTTTTAAATATGAGAAGATGAAACAGTTTTGGTAAAGAAAGAGAGAATTTGAAGAACCCTAGACCCGATCTTCACGCTCACTGTGGATTTACTGTGTGTTCTTAAAGCATTTTCTGCTTTATGAAGTAGTAATTCATCTACTTTCTTTCTTTCTTTCTATCATTTTCAAAATTTATTATTTATTTTTTATTTTTTAATTACAATTGTAATTTGGGAAAGTGAGATACGTTCGAATCTTGTCAGTAAATTGTAGAGAAGTTCCGTGCATTTGTAAGTATAGAATAGTGGGATTGCATCAAAGGGTTATGCTCTTGTGTATCGCGGTTCTCACTATTAAATCCCGTCCTTCCAATTATATCTTTACACGCATTTGGAGATATTAGGCTTTATTGGATTTAGCTATGGAAAGGATATGTGAAAAGACAAGTATACCATGAGAATGGTGATGTGGCACGAATTGGTTGAGTAGAAGAATTGAGTGTATGTGTTGCGGGAGTATGGGAGATTAACTGCGTCGGTGAGACGGTGACAAAAATCAATAGCTGCAAGCGCCACGCAAGTACCCTGATACTGGTACCGGTGGCCGAACAAACGAGGAATTCTTCTTTAAAGCGGTTGCAACTTCTGAATATTTTCCTTACCCAAACAAAAGTTCGGCGATATTTTATTTTTAGAAAGTTTTTTTTTTATTTTTTCATTTTTAACTAAAATATAATAATAATAATAATAATAATTTGTCTACTCCTAAGTCCCACCATCCTTTTCAACGGGTATTACTCTCACGCTTCAAGTGTGCTCTCGCTCTTACAATTCGCACGCGCTCTTATTCAAATTTTCATTATTTATGACTTAATTTTGTCGCTCTCACACTCCCGCTCCCATGTCCTCAATTAAGGTGATGATGATAAGATTTTTTTAATTAATGAGATGAAAGATTATATTGTTCAAATTAATTTGCAAAAATTGAGTGAACTGAAATAAAATAATACTACTAGGGTTTAAATGTAGCTGTCTCAAATTAAACTCTTTTTTTGGAATGAATTTTCAAACTAACTTATGCATGAATGTCTGGGTTTGGCAATTTTAAGATTTAAAACAGATAGATTATGATGGGTAGTGACAAATTAATTTTTAAATGAGTCATGATAGGGGAACCGAAAAAGAATCACCGAATTAATATCGAATTTGACGTGGTTGGTTATTCTTATCATGTGCTAAATAATTATTTTTAGAAACTGTTTAAGTAGATGAGGTGAACAAAAACACGTCAGATTCGATACTTTTTCGAGGTTAATTCATTTGTCTCCCTATCATTATTTTTTAAAAATTATAATAAGTTGGAGTAAATTTTTGTAAAAGTTCTAGATGACAGTGTTAAACGTGGTTAAAGGAAAATTAATTCAAAACTTTGATGCAGTTGCAAATCTTGCTACATTAGCTTGGTGTGATATTATATGTTCGTGGGGTTGGCAGGTTGAAGGGTCGTCCCGAGCCCAATCTATTGGTACCTAATTCCGTCAAAATTATAGATATTTCATAACAATTTGGAAAATATTCAATTATATGTATCCGCGCGTGTGTGTGTGTATTTCTAGTAAATAACTTTTACAGTACTTTATTTTAGAATTCATTCTAATATGAAAGAAAATATCATTAGATCTATTTTTTTAACAATAGCAAAAACTACTGTAATGATCCTGATTTTTTTCATTTTTCATTTTTTGAGATTTTTTCTAATTTTTAGATGATATTTTCATCTTTTTTCGTTTTGTGTACCAAACATGGTCGAGTGTGTCAGAGTGTTGATTTCTTTGAATCCAGAACTCTTGGAAATGTATTGATTGTCATTTCGGCATTTTTTTCATTTTTTAGGCCGAGAGATACCAAATGGAACCCTTGTGTACATGATTATATGTTTAAATGTATGGTGATATTATGTTTGTTATATATATATATATATATAAGTTATGTTAATAAAGATTTTATTAAAAGTCGTGGGATCCATTTATAATATAATGACTTATAGGTCATTATAGACTCAATCTGCTTCATCTTTTCTTCTCCGCAAAATTCTCTCTCTCTCATGTATTTATTTTTTCTTTTTCTCGCACACTTTAGGCTTTAATCTAACTTTGTTCTTTGAGAATTTGATCTTGCCATAGAAGGGAAAGTTGGAGAGCACGAAGAGGGCTTTCATTTGGCACCATTCATGTATGGGTTTGGAGGACTTTGAATTTGGGCTGGGCTTAAGGCCTTGTTTGGCTAGCTTAATTAAGGTAAGGGTTTTCCTAAGCCTTCAAATTTTATTTTTTGTTGAGTAATTTATTCCTTAACATCTTGATTATTTTATGTTGAATGCGAGTTTACAAATAAAATGGATATATATTTTTTTTGCATAGAAAACAATTATCCATTTTATTCCTAAAAAAAGTGTTGAAATTATATATTTAAAGCATGCTATGTGGAATAAATGGACTATGTTGTGTTGAAAAATTGAATTGATAGTATGAGTTGTGTTGGGTTGAATTATATGAAAAGCATGCTTGTTGTCTTATTTAGAGAAATGTCATGATCATAATTGATGATTTTAGAATGTCTTGTTTATGTTCATTGAATTGGAAAATGCCATGTTGATGTTGTTATTGCTATATTGATGAGTTTGATGTAAAAGTACGAGAAATGGTACATTGCATGATATGGCAAGAAAAATGGGATTTGAAAAGATTTTGAAAAGGGAAGTCTTCACAGAGGAAGAAATTTGCTTAACATGGGAAGTATTTTTTAAAAAATGAACCGGATTTCGCGAGTTCGGGGCTAGCTTGACCTAGAGGGAGCGCGGCCCGGTGTAGGGCGTGAAAAAAGTTGATACTAGACCCAGTAACGGTTGCTAGGCTTTGCCAGAATTGGAATCAGGGATAGCTATCAATCTCGCCTCGGTAAAGTCAGTTAGCGATTTTCGAAAAGTGGAAAGTGGGTCGGTAGAGACCAAGTATGAGATGGGGATCATTACATTTCATATCTTGCACGACATTGTATAATTGTATTGTGTGACTGAGGATAATGCTTGTTATGGTGTAGATGTTATATGGACTCCCAATACATGACCCCAATATCTTTTATTCCATTATGTGATACGTGACTCAAGAGAGTTCAAAGCTGACGCCTTAGGCGATCTCTACTGAGTCTTGTACTCACCCCATTACTTTTAACATTTTTCAGGTCACGGGAAGTAAGTGGCAGACAACGTTCCTCCACAAGTTTGGACGGGTTAGTGGACTATTTTGACATCTCTTGTATATGCGATTTTTTTTTTTTTTTTTTCCCGGTATAAGGCTTAGGATGGCACGTATATTGTGTATCGACGTTGGAATTGGTCATAGTGCCCTTAGATGACCTCAGGTTCGAGTAAGGACCCGGTTAAAGATTCGGACCCTCGGATTCGGATCGTTACAAATTTGGTATCAGAGTAATGGTTCAAAAACCATTAGGACGACAGGTGGAGGCTTACCTAGGGTTGTGTGGAAGGTGGATTGCATTGTTTATATGCTTATGTGTTAAAGTACTTAATTGTTTAAGAAACATGCTTACTTGTTACTTGTTTAAATGTTTAATGTTTTGAAAGGCATGCCTATTTGCCAAGTGTTTACGTATTTAAATGCCAGTATATGTAAATGAAGTGTATATATGATTTGAAAATATGTTGATTTTGATAAGACGACAAATATGAGGAGTATGGTAATGGCAAGTGGTAGGCACGGTTTGTGCAGTTTATTTTAAATGATAGAGTGGCAAGTAGTGAGCACGATATGTGCAAGCATGTTTTATATGGTATTGTGAATGGTAGTTAGTCATGGTTGTTTAGGTTTTAAATAATGAGACACGATTGTATCATGGTATGGGGTACGGTTTAGTATGGGATGGTTGTTAGTACGGTAGAGTACTTATTGCGGCATTGATGGTTGTGTGAGTTTTTATCTAAGTAGGCAAGGAGCTCAATTGCTCCAGGGTTGTTTGGGTGCTGGTTTTTATCGAACAAATGGCGTAGGTTTTTAGCTCATGGATCGAGCTATTCGGTGCATGGTTGTTTCAGTTTTCTCGTTGTTTTTAAGGCGTAATGTTAGGGGCACGACTTTTGAACCATTGCATATGGCATAATGTTATGTCCAAGGTGAGACGTATGAGTTTCATGTGTTAGCGTGTGGGTTCCTGTGATCGTGGAGGTCAAGTGTACGAGGTGAGGTTTTCGTGAGGCATATATGACCTTTAGAGGTTAGTAGTTGTGACTTAGGTCATGATTTGGTACTAAGGTTCTTTTCGAACCTGTTTGTGGTGGGTGTGATTAGAGGTGGCAAAGTTCGACAAGACCCGCCAACACGACACGTGCACGACACGAGTTAAATGGGTAATGGGTTTACCATAAACGGATTCATGTCATAAACGGGTTGACACGAATAACCCGTTTAGTTAAACATGTCGTGTTCGGGTTTTGTGGCTTAACCCGTTTAATTAAATGTATCACCTGTGAACCTGTCTAACCCGTTACCTGTTTTGACCTGATTATTAGGAAACATTTTGGTCATTTCATGGTTACATAAGAAACCCTATTAATGTTAATATACAAAATATATTTCATGTTTACAAAGTTACGCAGCGCCTTCTCTTCACTCTTCAATCTCTTTCTCGGTCTTTCCTCTTTTCCCCCTTTCTCTCTCTAAAAGATTGCCAGACAACTCCCTCTCTCTCTCAAATCCACACCACACCTTGAGCGACCAAGAACACAATAGTCTACACTTCGAGCGACCAGCGAAGAACACAAACCTTGAACAATCGAAATAAGTTTTCTACTTTTCTTTAATTTTTTTGTCTTTTCTCTTTCAGATTTACTTTGAAACAACAAGAGTTTGATTTTTTTTGTCTTTCCTCTTTCGGATCTACTTGAAAACAAGTTTTCTTTAATGTTTTTCTTTCAGATCTACTTTTAAACGAGTTTTATCTAATTTTTTTCCCATTATTATTGTTGTTTTTTAGAAAATTTGATGTATATATGTATCGTGCTCGGTGCTTCTGTCCTTTCTAATTTGGGGGTGTTCACTGGTTTGTAACTTTGTATGCCTCTTCTGTTTTATTTTATTCTCC